TATTCGGTAAAGTCACGTCTTCACTCCAACGCTGTCCTCTGGACAGTCCAGTCCCTTCACCTGATGAAGGCTACTTGTGTTGCGCCCGAAACGTCGTGATTTTTTGTTATTTTATTTTACCTACGTGACTTTACCGAATAGAACCAAATAGTATGGATCCTTGCAGTCACGAAAGCTTCAAATCTAGAATTGATAACCTATACGGGGAGGGCTTTCACCTATCTGTTAGAGCTTTCAACAGACAACGGGACAAGAAGTCAAAGCTCATCGAGACGCTGACCTTCCTCAAAAGATGCCGCGACGACAAGCTTAAAGGACGCGACCTGGGCTTGCTGTCTTCACTCCAACGCTGTCCTCTGGACAGTCCAGTCCCTTCACCTGATGAAGGCCACTTGTGTTGTGGCCGAAACGTCGTGACTTTTTTCCCTCACTGTAGGTAGGGTGTTGACTGTTGTGTTAGCCGACTGTCTGTATTGTATTGAATTATATTTAAAAGTTACTAGGTTTGTTTTCTCATTCATTCTTACCTGATGTCGGTTGCTTGTGTTGCAATCGAAACGTCGTATTCTGTTATTTAATTTATTTTCTTTCATACTTGACTCTACCGAAAGAACCAAAGAGTAATTCCTGTAGTCACGAACGCTTCAAATCAAGTATGAACCCAAACATTAAACAGGAAGTACTTTGAATGTACAAATAAAAAAATGTTAGTGTTAAATATAACTCGCACAATCTATTTTCTGAAAACCGTGAGCAGCTGAATCTCACTGCCTTCTCAATGGAAGCAAAGCCCACCCCCCCCCCCCCCCCCCAAATTGGACAACTTTATACATTTTTCAGTAGTTTACGATTAAGATTTGAAAAAAATGAATGAATTAAATGCACCCGCTATTCCCAATGTGAGGAACAAAGCAAACCACTGCCCCCCCCCAAAATACAGAAGTCAAACTCCGCCGATGCCTTACATCTTACATCAACCCAGGCACGAAAGAGGAAGTGTTTTGAATGAGAAAAATGAGTTCATATTATCTCGTGTTCAAAATAGAACTTGTTCAGTAACTGTATACAGGTGAACCCCGACTTACGACGGCTCAACACCCCCGCCACTTTTCCGACCTTTCTTACACCAAGGCCCCCACAGTAACGACGAAAACTCGTATCTACGACCGCCTGTATGTTTATTTTATCTCAATGTTCAGTTTAGTTAAATGTTGAATTTATAATGAAGTAATATATTGTACATTTTTTTTTATTTCGTTGACTTTTTTATTGCTGTATGTGTTGTATTTATATATATTTTTATGCGACCTGTTGCAAAACGTTGTATTTTTCATTTGATAAGTTTTTTCTGTTTGGTTGATGAAACCTGATTCAAGAGCTTCTTAGCTCACAGGGCATCTTCTATATATATAAAAGGTTAATGTTAAGCATACTTCGCAACATGCAACAAACTTGAAATTTGGCATGTGGGTAGCTTCCAGACTGTACACAATGAAAAAAGTATAAAATAGACTTTTGTATTTTGGGGGGGAGGGGGGGGCGCTATAATGGATATATTTTTCACGGCAAGTGAGCGGTGACGTCACATCTGTGATTTTTCACGGCAAGTGAGCGGTGACGTCACATCTGTGATGTCACCCGCATGCGGGCAGCGTCACGCAGTGTGCCTGCTGACGTCACGCAGTATGCCTGCTGACGTCACGCAGTATGCCTGCTGACGTCACGCACCCTCCCCCCCCACCCTCCGCATAGGCCGTGTATTAATCTTCTGGTCCAACACCAGTGGAGACTAGGCTCTAAAGAAAGCCGTCTCGGGTGTGGACCAATCAAATTCAAGGACAGTGCATATCATTATCAGAGTTGTCTTTTTGTTTGCATTTTGACTGCTTGTGTTGCGGTTATTGCTGACATGATGCCTTGAATAAAGGTGTCAGTTTTTTTGTGCCAGTTAAAAGGGTAAAACCTATTACTATAAGAATCCAAGTCTCGGGCGAAGCCGAATCGTACAGCTAGTTCAAAATAAACTGTTCAGTCTTGATTTCAAGCCCAACGACTGCTACCGACGCCGAGCCAATTGGCGACGAGCCTTCGCGCATCGCGCACATGGCACTCGTCGACAAACGGCGCTGCTTTGCTCTTCCACCGTACGCGTGTGTATAGTATTATGGCCCGTCAGTCTGCAGGTGCGCCTAGAGCGGATGCAGCGTCTCTTTCGCAACGCTCTTGAAAAAAAAAAAATTTACAAATATTTTCTTCACATTTTTTAATTTTTTTGCCTTTCGTTATGTCCGAGAAGAGGAAATGTGATGCACATGCAGAAAAGTACTTAAGCATTTTCAAATGTTTTGTTTTTCACTTCACGTTTGTAAAAGTGATGTTAATTTACAAAAAAAAGATTTGTTGGAGTTATTCGAATTTATGTTCGCGGTAAATTTCGGCGCTTTTAAAAAGGCATGCAATGGTTTTCCAAGAACAGAACCCCCAATTTATAACATTGTTCCTATGAGAAATAAGGTGTTCGACTTACGACAGTCGACATACGACCGTCGTCCAGTTACCAATTAGGTCGTAAGGTTGGGGGGGGGTCGCCTGTAGAATGAAAGAAAAAACAAATAATGTAGTGTCCAGTATTGTACACGACAAGAAGACAAATCGCGGTTCACAGCTGAACCTCGCTGCCTCCTCCTCCTCCCTCATTGGAGGTGGGGAAGACCGCCACGTGGCCTGGGACGCACGATGGGCTGTGTGGGAGACAAGATGGCGCCGCGTGCTGTTCTTCCGCGGCAGCGTCAATGCGAGCAGTGCACTTACGACGCGTACAGCAGGAATCTCGCAGTCAACCGCGAAATTGTTGAGCCAAGGCGGGGGGTAGGAGGGCATCCGCGTTGGGAAATCCCACGATGGGCAAGGTTTTGGTGCATTTCATTGCTATTGGTGACACATCCTGTTGTAACAGTACTATTAAACACTTGATTAGGAATACAAGCATTGTTTTATTTAAAATTATTCCTTGGATTCACAGCCCAAAACACATTCAACAGAGGTTCGGATAGTTGGAATAGTTTAGCGATAGAATGACATACGAATCGAGGATAATTCAAGTTGTCTTCAGGATTTGAATAGAAGGCTAGAGTGATTGCGTATTCTAAAAATAATATGCGTCAAAGCAATATAGTGGACCAGTAAATTGGCGTCTGATCATGTGTTTCAACTCTATTCATGCGAAAAGAAATACGTTCACGAGCTAAATGCTAATATCGAAGCCAGCTAGCCACGAGAGGGCTTCAGGAGAGAATTCGTGTCATTTTGCTTTTCCTACTCCATTGAAGTAGCGCAGACTACAGCAGTTTACTATATCATCCACAGTTTGGGATGCATGACCAAAATCGCACTACTGTGGCTTGTCTTCAATTCTCCGTTCACAACGCCCACGTACATGGCAGGACAATAGTTTCTGCATCAACAATATTATCGTGTGTTCTGGCGTGCTTCTCTAAATTGTAACGATTGGAAAACCCCTTCCCACATTCCTTACACACGTGTGGCTTTTCGCCTGTGTGTGTTCTGATGTGCGCCTCCAATGTCGAACGTTGCGAAAAGCCCTTTCCACACTCCATGCACACGTGCGGCTTCTCGCCGGTGTGTATTCGTGTGTGTTTCTCTAAATCAGAACGTTGTGCAAAACCCTTTCCACACTCCGTGCACACGTACGGCCACTTGCCCGTGTGTGATATAGAATGTGTGGTTAAATTACACCGCTTTGTAAACCCCTTCCCACACTCCTTGCACACGTGCGGCTTCTCGCCCGTGTGTGTTCTGATGTGCGCCTCCATTGTAGAACGTTGAGAAAAGCCCTTCCCACACTCGTAGCACACGTGCGGCTTCTCGCCCGTGTGTATTCGTGTGTGTTTCTCTAAATCGGAACGTTGTGCAAAGCCCTTTTGACATTCCTTGCACACGTGCGGCCACTCGCCCGTGTGTGATATGGCGTGCGTGCTTAAGGTAAAACGCGTCGTAAACCTCTTCCCACACTCGTTGCACACGTGCGGCTTCTCGCCGGTGTGTGTTCTCATGTGCGTTTCTAAACTAAAACGCGTTGTAAACCCCTTGTCACACTCCTTGCAAACGTGCTTCCTCCCATCGGTAGCCACTGCCATGCACAACGCGATGCCTTCAAGTGCCTTCCCGCACTGCTTGCAGGCTTGCAGGGTCGCGTCGCCGGTGCATTCTGCTTTGTCCGTCGTCTTTGTTTTGAAGCAATTGCCCTTCCCACATTCTTTGCACACGAGTTCGCTTTGCTGTGCTTCACCTGTTGCACGTTTTGAAAGATGCAAAAGTGCATTTAAATTAACCGATGCAAGAAAGGTAAAAGCTGACCGCCAGAAACAGAACCAGTAACATTTTATGTGATCCTCCTGCAAGTAGCCTCGTCTCTAACTCCCGCCCCATCAACTCTGTCTTAAGGAACTCTTAATCTGAACCCTTTCCCCATTCCGAGACGTCTGCAAGTTACAGGGTGTGTGTCCCGTTTCACCGCTGAATCTCGGAAAAAGCGGCAAGTGGTTAGCGATAATTTGACTTTGAGAGGCGTAGTAGCGCCATTGTTTTTAAAGATATTGGACTCATTTTGGTCTCATTTTGAAAGTAAATTGCTATAAAAAAATTATTTTAAAAAATGCGAAATGTGAATTTTTTTTGGTATACTACGTGTAAACAAAAATTATTGTTGCTGTAAATCAAGATTGGAAGATATATAAAAATTTTAATCATTTTAGAAATGATTAAATTGCCAAGAAAATGGTATATAAAACTTTGCCACGTAATAATAAATATTCAATGGTAAAATGAATCATCTGTAAATGTCAGTATATATTTTATCTTTCTTAAGGTTATTTACGAAGATATACCATTTCTTTGGCATGAAAATAAAGACAAAACACACGTAATCATGCATACACATAGATGTAATAATATAATCAAAAGTATGGCTGTACTCACCACCTTCTTCCTTGAAGAGCTCTTTCATTCACCCCCCACCCCACTTACCAAACTACAACCTCAGGTGACAGGTTGTAGATTTTTGATGTTGTGGCTTTCTTATCGGTAGGGGGAGAGCCAAAGAGGTTCATTCCCTCTTGGAGCCCGTGGCCGTCCTCTTTGAAGCAGTGTCTTTCTTCCGTGTTGATGGGGGCGGCGGGGTCCAATACTGCTTCTGGGAATGGTACTGAACGAAGCAATCTCCCCGTAAACACAGAGGAATCTTGCATACGTTGCATTCCCAGGTGGTGTCACGCCGTCGACCATTCCTGTAGCACACCCGGCATCGTCGCTGACTTGGCATTATGGAGGTCATGGCATGCTCGGTCACTTGCGTTAACCTGCACGAAGGGTCAACAAGCCTTGGCCTTTTGTGCTTCGCAGGAGCGCTTGGAGAAGGGTCATCCGGTGCCTCGTCGTCCACGTCACTGCCAGGTGCAAACCGCTGCCTTCTTGTGGTGGATACACCTGAAGGCCCTGCTTCTTGTTCGTCTCCGGTGGCGGCGGCGGTGGTGGTGCTGGTGGCGGCGGCGGCATTGGTTCGGGCGATGGTGATGCGTGGGGTGACGGGTGCACCGACGAGTGCCAGAGGCAGGTTGGGTGCATGGGGGGTGACATCTACGCTTACGGCCCACTCCTGAGGATCAAAATGAATGAGGGCGTTGAACAGCACCTCATGGAATGCGAGCAATGTCAACTTCTTTTCGTCTGTGCTATATTTCTTGTACAACACATAGGCATTGTGCAGTGCCATTTGCAGGAAATACAGCACGATTTTCTTGGTCCATTTATGAGTCTTCCTTGTGAAGTGGTAGTATTGGATCATCTGATCAAAATGAACCACGCCCCTCATGTGGTCCATGTAGTCCGCTATGGCGTTAGGTCGCTGCAGCTCAATTCGACTTAGGAGTGCAGTGCCATCCCTCTTCCTGGTCTTTTGTTGCCGAACGAAGTTGTGAGTGTCGGCATTGTGAATATTGGTTATAAGTGTGACCAGGCGCGTGTTCATCCAGCATATGACAAAGGTATTTCCCTTCCTCCTGAAATGAATGCTGTCACGTGGAATCTTCATTTTTGCCAGGGCTTGCAGATCCTTTGGGGCTCCTCTTGACAGCCTCAAAGTTCCACAAGTATGGACTCCATGTTCATAGAGTTCTTCTGTTAGCTTCACCGAGTTGTAGTAGTTGTCCATATACAACTGGTAGCCTTTATCCAGCAGAGGTCCCATCAGTCCAAACACAATGTTGCGAATTGACTTCTCAATCCCCACGTATATGTCAAAATTAAATACATATCCTGTCTGAGCCTCAGCAAGAATGTAAAATTTGATGCCATACTTTTCCGGTTTCTGCGGGTTATAAACTTTGAAAGGCAGTCTCCCCTTCCATTCCAGCGTGGCCTCATCTAAAGATAGTTCCCTGTTCGGGGCGTACAACGCCTTGAATTTACTTTGAAAATATTCCATGACCGTGCGCACTTGCAGCAACCGGTCTGTGTTGTCGCGAGGCACTGCACAGCTGTTATGGCAATTAAAAAATCTCCCAATGCTTTTGAAACGCTTGCACGACATTGTCTCCCTGAAGGCTGGCATCGAATAGGGTTTCCCTGTTGACCAGTACATTGGAATTTCGGGAAGAGATGCAACGCCCATCGCCATGGTTAGTCCCAAATAGTTTGCGATGTCCATCAAATTGACACCTTCCCACCCTGCCCTCTCCTCTGCTGATTTGTTTGCCAAGGCACAGTTAGCATACGAATTGGTTTCATTCGTGAAAAACATGAGCAACTCCCGCGTGATAAACAGCTGAATGAAACCCAAAGGAGTGGCGGGAACCGGTGTCTGCATTCCTGGAACTGCGGTGAAATCGAGCAAGCGCACTCCGGCGTTGTCTTCCGTCCATTCTCCAGCACGCGGTTGCTGCTGTCCGCCATCACTGGCTCGGTCCTCATCTCCACTATCGCCATGGGTAGGGGTGGCCCACTCACCCAAGGGTGAGGAGGGCGGGAATGGCCGTCCACCTCTGCCATGGCCACGTGGCCTCCTTCCTCTCCTCCGACCAACATCTTCTTCAAAGGCACAGGACGCCTCCTCGATGTCGCTGCCACTCTCGTCGGTATTGTGTTCAAGCAGAAATTCTCGAGCGGGCCCAAAAGCCGTGCCTGCCTCACGAGGTCCATGCACAGCAGCATCTGTAATGGCAGAGCCAGCTACGCTCCGAAGAGGTATCGGTGTTTTCTCCACATCTTCACGTGCACTAGACACTGATTTTCGGGATGGATGCATTTTCGGCATGTTCACCAGTGTTCTCAGCACCACTGATAAAATAAAAATTAAAGAAATCAAATAGCACCGAAAATATTGGTGAACTTTACGTAAAGAATACAACCACACCACAGAGAACTACAGCGGCACGACCGCCACTCTACGACAACTGGCGCCAATACTGAGCCACACGGCTTCCCACATAACCTTGTAGGAGCCTCGATACATCTTCCAACCAGGTGATGTACTGACATAGATAGTTAATGATTTTTTTTATTATTATTTTACTTGGTGCACATACGTCATCGGAATGGAATTGGAAGGAAAACTTACCATATATAATTGTACGTCATCGGAATGGGTAAAGGGTAAAGGGAGCCAGTGTCCAGCCTCAGTGGCAGTCCTAGACTAACAAACCCGCATTGTTTGCATACTCCGAAATCGCAACGCATTCACTCTACCTGCATTTACCCCCGGCTTTATTGCTATGCCAACTCCATTCTCTGCTATTTGTGAATACATAACCAAGTACAACATCAAACAACGTGGAAGACAAACACAACTTTGGCAAAGAAACATCCTTTTGCTGCCCGATGTCCTTAAATGAGTCTACCCAGTCTGTAGGCAACCTCCCTATGTAACACATCTAAACCATACCCAACATACCTCCAGCACTTCATCCCTCTATGCTGCCCTTCTGCTATTCTTGACCGGTTCGAGCCCAATTTTTATTAAACATCTTCTGACCAAATTCGATCTGAAGCTTTCGTGACTGCAGGGTTTCATATTCTTGGTTCTTTCGGTAAAGTCACGTAGAAGGGAAATAATAAAACAATAAAATTCTCACGACGTTTCGATTGCAACACAAGCAATCACCACCTGATGATGGTTGCTTGTGTTGCAATCGAAACGTCGTGAGAATTTTGTTTTATTTTAATTTTATTATTTCCATTCTACGTGATTTTAACGAAAGAACCAAGAATATCTTCTGACCACATAATACACCGATCATCGAGCATAACATATTGCTGTATCTCTCATTGTCCATGCCTATATTTGTGTTCCTTTATTGCCCAATACGTTAATTAGTATGGCTACATACATTCTCAAATATTTTCCTGAATTTGATTCTTAATGATATGTTTAGCACTGTAATACCCATTTTGATATCTGTACCTTTGTTCACGAGGCCTCTCGTGGTTTTAGATAACTTGCCCTTCCTCAAAAGTCTCACAGAAAAGCTCGGCAAATCATACATGGGTTGGAGTGTAGATTACCATTATTTCCCTTAAGGATGGTAGTAGATGTGGTGATGCAAGTTAAAATGATTGATCAAGTGAGACCTTGACAATGTACTCGAGAAGTAAGTTACGTTGTGTCATCCTCAAGAGCCATTCTATGAATCGTACTGATTGGATGAGTTCCATGAGGACATTTATTTAACTGCAGCCACGGCTCCAGTCATAGCACGACTGGAATAAGACTGGTGACAAAGCAAGAAGACAATGCATTGTATCTGTGACGTGACCAAAGGAAACTCACCTTCACTAACGTCATCCTCTGATAACTCCACTTCGATGAAATTCTGGTCTGGAGTGGCCGGACATCCGTGGGAATCCCCAGTCTCCTCTGGCTTCTCACCGTCTCCTTCAACTTTAACAATATTCACATCTGGAGCTGCGATATATAAAATGTCACAATGGTTTCCTTAATGGATGGGGAAAACAATGCACGTGATAATGCTATCAAGCTGGTCAGCTACAGTCGTTTATCCGTATACCCTTAGAATTTGTAATAAAGGCAGTCCCCGGGTTACGGAAGACCCGACTTACGGAAATCCGACTTCACGGAAATGTTCCCATATATCATGAAAAAAAATCAATACAGTGTGCGGAAATGTTTGCGTTAGTTACGTAGGCGCAAAGAGTGCAGCGCGGTGAGGTTTGCGGATGAATACCGCGGAGCGAGGCGTAAGGCGGCCCCACCTTACGCCTCGCTCCACAAAAATGCCACCTTCCCCGAGCTTCACGAGGATTGAGGTAAATGGTTCCCGAGTTTCGATTCCTGCTCACGGCCAACACCAGTGACGATTATCTGAATCGGTCATGGGCCTCCCCGAGGTCGACTTAGCCTCAAAATGAGTACCAGGTGCGGTGTGTAAACATCGCCACTGGGGAGACAAAGGCGGCTGGGCATGGTGTTGGCCACCCACCCCCTCGTGTGCCGTGCCGGCTTCCATAGGTGATCGCTAACAGCACTTGCCCCAACAGTCTGCTAAAGGCTATACGGGGGATCTTTGCCTTTGTCTTGCCATTGTGCGCGTGTGCAGTGACATATACTGTCACTACGCTGTAGCGCCGGTTACTGCAGGGACACGTGAACGGGGGCCGAGAGCCCCGCCTTCATACAGTAGGGGGCGGGGCCAAGGGCGTGGCGGAGCCACGACCGGGGATATAAAGGGGAAGCCCTGGCAGGGAACGGGGCTCGTCTGTGGAATCAAGCCTGGGTCACGCATCTCATCCATCGTCTCCGGGTCTTCGTTAGAGTTAACTCGCTACTCACATAGTTAGCCGTATCACTTAATCTTGATTTGAAGCTTTCGTGACTGCAAGAACACAAGCGTCCTGATGACGGACGCTTGTGTTGCGACCGAAACGTCGTGTTCTTTTATTTTTTTTTCTATCTACGTGAATTTACCGAAAGAACCAGAGAGTACCGTATCACCTACTATAGAACCAGAGTTACGTTTAGTGTTACCCCGTGCAAGAAGTTGTTAATAAACGTGTTGCCTCCAACTCCAGAGTGTGTGCCTCGGTGTACAACACTTCACGTGTATGAAGTCTAGGTCTAGCCTAATGCATGGTAAACGAACATTCAGAAGTGGCTGCTATCTGTTAACAAATAATATAGTTTAATTATGGGTAGTGTTAGGGTAGATATTCAATTAAATGAAAGAATCATAGGGTGTGCAGAGCATATGTACAGCGATACGACAGAGGTAGCGATAGCAAACGGACAGTGTGATTAGAGTACTGAGAAACAATGGTAGGGGAGGCACAACTATTCCCGGCGATGGGATTTAATCTTTAATTTTGGGGGGAAATTGTTCAGTTTCCGACGTACGAAAAATTCGGGCTACGGATTGTTCTCTGAACCCGAACTCTTCCGTAACCCGTAGACTGCTTGCATCTTGCCTTTGTTTGGCTCTTAACGATTGGTTTTGCTCTACCGTGCTGTATGCAGGGATCTTACCATCTTCCTCCACTTCGCTTTTAACCACAATGTTCATTATCTCAGTGCCCAGACTCCCATCATCTTCTTCCTTGACGCCGGGTCCTGCGTATACACGCACGTTCACACTGGACTGTCACAGACGACATATTCGAGATGGTGGCAGAGCCACAGATATATCCGGGTGGTTCAGGGTTCTATTTCCGCAATGCCTCGTGTTACTTACACCACTATTCCAGTAGCACATCCGAGCCCCGCCAAGGTCAATGGCACCATGGTGGCGAGATGTGAACTACCTCGCCCGGTATGCGGCTGGTCGTGGGTTCGATCCCGACCCCGACGCCTTTATATCTGGAGTTTGCATGTCTCTCTCCCCAATGGTGGCGCGGATTTTTCTCCAGGTCCTGCATTTTTTCCCTCCACATTTAAAAACACGCAGAGTATTCTTCGGATGCTATACAATTTCCACACAATGACAAGGTACTTCGTTCAGCTATCTTTTCGTGGTCAAGTCACTTCTGAAAAAGAGCTACATAGCTCAGTGGGGCCTTAACTGGTCAAATAAAAAGTTATTTATATGTATAAAGTTAACTTTGTACTTTTAGAACCAGAGATGAAAACTAAAAATCAGACATTTGCGAAACGTTCTAATTTAATCTTGATTTGAAGCGTTCGTGAATGCACGAATCCACACTTTGGTTCTTTTGGAAAAAGTCACGTAGGTAGAAATATAATAAATCACGTTTCGGGCACAACACGTCGTGATTTATTTTATTTTACACCTACGTGACTTTAACGAAAGAACCAAAGAGTATTCTAATTTTAATATTGAGATAAACCAACCATTCCTGTGGTAAATAATTGGGGCAATTTATGCACTTTTAGTATCACTCGAAAGGACGTTTAAAGGTGGTTTCATCGTTTAAAAGTCGTTCCAAGCCAACCCAGGGTGACTCAGGAGGCCGAGTTATGCCGAAGTCGCTGCTAGATGCGTCATGCATGGCGGTCCCATATCCAGGGTTTCCAGATTGAAGCCCTGCCCAGCTTTCCACAACGGCGAGATTGGACGCATGCCGTGTTATTGTTATTATTATCAATACTACGATTTGGTCAGAGGCAGTGCGATCTTACCAGAGAGACGATTCCCTGTCGCGTCAGGATACATAATGGGGCTTGGAGTTTCATCGCTTTCTTGTTTGATGAATGCCAACTCAACGTGTGAAGCCATCTGAGAGGAGATAGACACCCAGACACACCTCGTCAGATGTGCATCAACAACGTACAAGACAAACTATACCCACATAGCCACGGAAGCAAATGGGACAAGTGATGTTGGTGAGCACTTATTGAGGTGCTGGTGTGACAAACACCACGCCCGGCCGCCTTTGTCTCCCCTAGTTGCAAAGTTTACACATCACAAAGACAAAAAGGTCCCCCGTACAACCTGAACAGACTGTTGGGGCAAGTGCTGCGAGCGAGCAGCTAATATAAAGGCTGGCACGATACACGAGGTGGGGGGGGGGGGCAATCACCACGCCCGGCCGCCTTTGTCTCCCCAGTGGTGAAATTTACCATACACTGGGTACTCATTTGAGGCTGAGTCGACCTATAAGTTACATAGTCGCACACACAAGGCGAATGCAGAGATAATATCTAGTGGTGGTGATGCTGCTGCTGCGTTGTTAGTGCTGTACAAACACAAATAACAAACACGCATTCGTCACTAACACTCTGCGCACGCGTGCGTGGGGGAGCGGGGGAGGGGGGGACCTGTACCGTACTGGGCGACGTTTCGGGCTACGGCTCCTTCTTCAGAGGGCGCAAGAGCCCCACGGGGCGGGGTGGGTTGAGGCACACGAAGGCGACAAGATGCAGGGACAAGACTCGAACCGTCTGTTTCTTCAACTTTGTATTACCCTTTCCCGTTCCGAGGCGACTGCAAGTTGCGGGGTTGGGCCCCGTTCACGCGCTCGCGGCTCACCGTTAATTTTATTTACAGAGGCGTCGCGCCGATGTTTGCGAAGACATTGTACTCATCGCAGAGAACCGTTGCGACACGACCGCCGCACCTTACGATAGCTGGCGTCAAACTGTGCCAGACGCCCTCCCCGCGCCGCCTTCTGAGAGCCTCGGTACGACCTCCGACCGGAAGACGTACTGATAAAGTTTTTTTTTAAATTATTAGTTCTTTTTCCGATTCCGTTCCGATGACGTGTACGCGTGTGCACGTCATTGGAATGACGTATGTGGAAAGGGTTAACCCTTTCCTGTTTCCGATGAAAATCCGACAAACCGGATGTAATGTGTTCCAAACTTGATATCAAATTACTCTGTTTTTTTGGTAAAGTCACGTATAAATAAGAAATAATAAGAAATAATAATAAAATAATAGTATTATGGAATTTTATAATAGTATTATGTAATTTTATTTTATTATTATTTCTTATTTATACGTGACTTTACCGAAAAAACCAAAGCGTAATTTCTGCAGTCACGAAAGCACCAAATCAAGTTGATATCAAATGCTTTTTTGTAATGTTTCACAAATGTTACGTGCTCCAAATAAATGGGCTTTAAAAAAAGCTCACACTTGCTCCATTATAGGATTGAGATGAGATGGTGATTGACGGTGATGAGATTAGTTCTGGTCACAGAACAGTTGGAAGTGGCTAAGGAGGGGTTTGGGTAGAGGTGGTGATAGAGGTAGTGATATGGGGTTGGGGTAGTAGTAGTGATAGGGGTAGTGATAGGGTTTGGGGTAGTGATAGGGGTAGTGATAGGGGAAGTGATAGGGGTTGGGGTAGTGATAGGGGTAGTGATAGGGGTTGGGGTAGTGATAGGGGTTGGTGTAGTGATAGGGGTTGGGGTAGTGATAGGGGTTGGGGTAGTGATAGGGGTTGGGGTAGTGATAGGGGTTGGTGTAGTGATAGGGGTTGGGGTAGTGATAGTGGGTGGTGTAGTGGTAGTGGTTGGGGTAGTGATAGGGGTTGGGGTAGTGATAGTGGTTGGGGTAGTGATAGGGGTTGGGGTAGTGATAGGGGTTGGGGTAGTGATAGGGGTAGTGATAGTGGTTGGGGTAGTGATAGGGGTAGTGATAGTGGTTGGGGTAGTGATAGAGGTTGGGGTAGTGATAGGGGTAGTGATAGGGGTTGGGGTAGTGATAGGGGTTGGGGTAGTGATAGGGGTTGGGGTAGTGATAGGGGTTGGGGTAGTGATAGGGGTTGGGGTAGTGATAGTGTGTGTGGTGTAGTGATAGTGGTTGGGGTAGTGATAGGGGTTGGGGTAGTGATAGGGGTTGGGGTAGTGATAGGGGTTGGGGTAGTGATAGGGGTTGGGGTAGTGATAGGGGTTGGGGTAGTGATAGGGGTTGGGGTAGTGGTAGTGATAGGGGTAGTGATAGGGGTTGGGGTGGTGATAGGGGTTGGGGTAGTGGTAGTGATAGGGGTAGTGATAGGGGTGGGTAGTGATAGTGGTTGGGGTAGTGATAGGGGTTGGGGTAGTGATAGGAGTTGGGGTAGTGATAGGGGATGGGGTAGTGATAGGGGTTGGTGTAGTGATAGGGGTTGGTGTAGTGATAGGGGTTAGGGTAGCGATAGGAGTTGGGGTAGTGATAGAGGTAGTGATAGGGGTTGGGGTAGTGATAGGGGTAGCGATAGGGGTTGGGGTAGTGATAGTGGTTGGGGTAGTGATAGTGGTTAGGGTAGTGATAGTGGTTGGCGTAGTGATAGGGGATGGGGTAGTGATAGGGGTTGGCGTAGTGATAGGGGTTGGGGTAGTGATAGGGGTTGGGGTAGTGATAGGGGTTGGGGTAGTGATAGAGGTAGTGATAGGGGTTGGGGTAGTGATAGGGGTAGCGATAGGGGTTGGGGTAGTGATAGTGGTTGGGGTAGTGATAGTGGTTAGGGTAGTGATAGTGGTTGGCGTAGTGATAGGGGATGGGGTAGTGATAGGGGTTGGCGTAGTGATAGGGGTTGGGGTAGTGATAGGGGTTGGGGTAGTGATAGGGGTTGGGGTAGTGATAGGGGTAGTGATAGGGGTTGGGGTAGTGATAGGGGTAGCGATAGGGTTTGGGGTAGTGATAGGGGTTGGGGTAGTGATAGGGGTTGGGGTAGTGATAGGGGTTGGGGTAGTGATAGTGGTTGGGGTAGTGATAGGGGTTGGGGTAGTGATAGGGGTTGGGGTAGTGATAGTGATAGGGGTAGTGATAGTGGTTGGGGTAGTGATAGGGGTTGGAGTAGTGATAGGGGTTGGGGTAGTGATAGTGGTTGGGGTAGTGATAGAGGTTGGGGTGGTGATAGGGGTAGTGATAGGGGTTGGGGTAGTGATAGGGGTTGGGGTAGTGATAGTGGTTGGGGTAGTGATAGGGGTAGTGATAGGGGTTGGGGTAGTGATAGTGGTTGGGGTAGTGATAGTGGTTGGGGTAGTGATAGGGGTTGGGGTAGTGATAGGAGTAGTGATAGGGGTTGGGGTAGTGATAGGGGTAGCGATAGGGTTTGGGGTAGTGATAGGGGTTGGGGTAGTGATAGGGGTTGGGGTAGTGATAGGGGTTGGGGTAGTGATAGTGGTTGGGGTAGTGATAGGGGTTGGGTAGTGATAGGGGTTGGGGTAGTGATAGTGGTTGGGGTAGTGATAGAGGTTGGGGTAGTGATAGGGGTAGTGATAGGGGTTGGGGTAGTGATAGGGGTTGGGGTAGTGATCGTGGTTGGGGTAGTGATAGTGGTTGGGGTAGTGATAGAGGTTGGGGTAGTGATAGGGGTAGTGATAGGGGTTGGGGTAGTGATAGGGGTTGGGGTAGTGATCGTGGTTGGGGTAGTGATAGGGGTTGGGGTAGTGATAGGGGTTGGGGTAGTGATAGTGGTTGGGGTAGTGATAGGGGTTGGGGTAGTGATAGTGGTTGGGGTAGTGATAGTACGATTTGAAGCATGTTTTATATATTTTGGGGGGGGGGGGGGGGCAGAGCTTTGTGACGTCATATTTGAGGTGGGGGTCTGACATTTTGTGACGCCGTGACGAAGGGGGGGGGTCAAAATTCGTACAAACTCGCATGACGTCATTTATGGACGGCCCCTTATTATCCAGGCCCTCTGGTGTTTCCCTCCACACTGAGAAACACGCGTTTAGAGTGTTTGGCTGCCGATATAAATGTCCACGCGAAAAAGCCACTTCGTTTGTGATAGCCAGGTGGTTTGCTTCTGAAATAAGTAAAACATTTTTTTTTTTTAAACACGCTTTAATTAAATGTACCGTACTAGTAATGGAGGAACTCCACGATTCCAGGAAGTGGCCCACGAGGCTTGCCACGACTCTAGTAAGGGGACCGTGGTGGCGATTTACAGCCAACGTGAGTTGAGCGTGGTACAATTAGACCCAAGCCGAAACATAACATTAAAACAAATGTTGAAAAATATTTATTTTTTATAGTTAATGATAGAATATAGTTATTGTCATCAGTATGACATAAGTATACCAAGTTTGCAGTCGATTCCACATTGGGAAGCGGGTAAAAATTGAGTTACAAGATTTGAGGATGCAACAGAGTGAGTTAATAAAAAGCGTGTATAAAAAGAACGCTATAGTAGCTTTGTGGGGCCTTGCATCTGTAGCCGGTATGGGCTAATGTAAATGACCACAGGTGCATCTTCTTTGGTTCTTTCGGTAAAGTCACGTAGAATGAGAATAAAATAATAAAATAAGACAATAAAATTATCACGACGTTTCGACCACAACACAAGTAGCCCTCTTCAGGTGAAGTAACAAAACTGTCGGGCCGACAGAGCTCCAATGAACGCCGCTAAGATTCGCAGCTTTGACTTTAACACAGCTATTTCTGTGACCAGTCACAAGCTAATCCCTCAGCTATTTCAATGCTAAAGTCTCCTGTTTGATATGTAAACCCCCTTTGTCAAGGTGCATCACGTCTCTCAACCAGCTTAAAGGACGCTGCAAATCTTAGCGGCGTTCATTGCAGCTCTGTCGTCCCGACAGTTTTGTTACTTCACCTGAAGAGGGCTACTTGTGTTGTGGCCGAAACGTCGTGAGAATTTTATTGTCTTTTAATTTTATTATTTTATTCTCATTCTACGTGACTTTACCGAAAGAACCAAAGAAGATGAATCCTTGCGGTCACGAAAGCTTTAAATCGAAATTTGACCACAAGTATAATTGTGAATGAAAGTAATAATGACCATGGATTGGACCAATAGAGTCACGTGAATGCACAGTAGGCCACGCCCACCAAATTTAGGGTACAGGGCACATATCCAGATGGACAATGTACAGGTAAATATTGACGTAAAGCTTTCGTGACTGCAGGAATTCATATTCTTCGGGTCTTTAGGTCAAGCCACGTAGATAGGTTAAAAAAAGAATAAAATAAAGAAAAAAAGACGTTTATTAATAAGGGGGGGGGGGCTCATATGGAGTGACGTCACGCACGGGACACACATTCTTGGCTTATTATATTAGTATTTAATTTGTGCAGTATTATCACAGCGGCTGACTAGAATACAGTATTTAGGAAATAATCTAGATGTTTCTAGAAGATAGTTTTGTTAAATATTTAATAAGTTTTTGTCAAATCTTTCAGATGTTATACGTTGAATGTGTATTGTATATGATAAGCAGGTGTTATCATTATTCAGATTATGGTGGACATTGTACGGTACATAGGTTGAGCAGTGAGATGGTGTTAATTGGGGTTGATTGCTGTGCATCTGGTCATAATTACAGATGCACGAAATGCTCCTCAGAAGAACACTTTGAAATAAAGAGTTGCATCTTCTTTGGTTCTTTCGGTAAAGTCACGTAGAATGAAAATAAAATAATAAAATAAAACAAAAAAATTCTCACGACGTTTCGGCCACAACACAAGTGGCCTAATTCAGGTGAAAGGAACAAACCTGTCGGGACGACAGAGCTGCAATGAACGCTGCTAAGATTCGCAGCGTCTTTTAAGCTGGTTGAGAGAAGTGAGGCACCTTGACAATGGGGTTTACATATCAAACAGGAGAATTTAGCATGAAGAAGGCCACTTGTGTTGTGGCCGAAACATCGTGAGAATTTTATTGTTTTATTTTATTATTTTATTCTCATTCTACGTGACTTTACCGAAAGAACCAAAGAAGGTGAATCCTTGCAGTCACGAAAGCTTTAAATCGAAATTTAAAGAGTTGCAGTTACACAATCCTCTGGTGTCCCTTGTCGGTGGAATCGTCCGATTCTTAGGAGGGCAGAACACAACCCAGAGTATCCACTCATCGCCTCCGAACTCATCGACCATTATCGTAGCTGTTTTTTTGTACTTATTAACCAGCCTGCCCCCTCGCAACGATTACGGGAGGAGAGGGATATATGGTGAGCCGGTTACACCTGGTAAAATAAACAAAAAGAGCAAGCAAATTAATGTTCAGGAGCTCAACGCCAATGTCGAGATCTGCCGGCCACGAGATTGCTTCAGGAGAAGAGTGCGTGTGGCTTCGCCATTCCTTCTCCATTGAAGGAGCGCAGACTGCTGTGGCATTTACAAGAGGATCCACAGTTTGGGTTGGATAGCCAGAGTCGCACTAGTGTGGCTCGTATCTTTAAGGTCCATTTACGACAATCGCATTACACACACATGGCCGAGTGAGCGACGCTGAACGGGCCTCTCAAACCCCTACTTCAGATTCCAAGCCAGTAAACGATCTCTTTTTTTTCTTGTTAAACATTAATTTATTTCCTTTTTAGTCCCGAGACCCCAGAGGGATGCTTGTGTCTTTTTTCCCCCTCATTTTTTAGTCGAGCTGTTCCCCCTTCTTTTGGATGGTTCATTGTACCATCGAAGCCTAATGCCCTCTTTGCCTAACCCAAGCTTGCACCTGTGGTAAGTCTCGGCAAATATTTACTCCCCAACACCCGTGGTTTGAAAAAAGAAAAATCCACCAGTACATTTGCTCGGACATAATTGGACTTTAAAAAACTTAAGCTCCTCAACCCTGCAGGTGGGGGGGGGGGTGGGGGGCCGGGCCTGAAACCAAACGGTGCGTCAAAAATGTCTAGCACGCACCACTACGGTCCGCTTTCACAGGGCTAGGAAGGCCATGCCGGCAAAAACTTCAGTGGCGCGGTACCATTCTTAGTCCTTGCGGGAGCAGAACATTTAAGCCACGAGCTTAAAAGGCAGGGTTAACGGGGAGTTCGAAACCAGGTGGGCCCCATTCCTACGGAGCTTATCATGAGGTGCGCATGCAAGGAAGTCGGGGCGGCCGAGCACTTTGTGGTATCAGAATATTTATACTGGAGGAATCTGATGAGCCATAAAGCTCTTTTTAACAGATGGCCATTATCATGCCCCCCCCCCCCCGCGGGGGATGGACAAGAGTTAATCACTGCCCCGATAAATTCACCTGGCGCACGTAGGCTCCCCCTGTGTTTGTTCCTATTTATCTTTCCCCCTCACCGTATGAAAACCTTCGCTCCCGCTCGTAGTTCCGGTGTGAGTGGGGGCAGTAAGCCCAATCTGCTCCCCATCTTTAGACCCAGGAGCACAGGGTTCGGGATTTAGTACGCGGAGTTCCTCCTGTACACCCCCCCCCCCCAACCTTGTTGCAGTCTGTGTTTTGTACCCGGCTCTTGTCAAGTTGCAAAAAAAATATCATCCACCGTTGCCTTCAAGACGAAGCAAATTCTGATTCAGATTTTCACGCCACATCGTGTGTTCTAGTGTGTTTCTCTAAATTGTAACGATGGGAAAAGCCCTTCCCGCACTCCTTGCACACATGGGGCTTTTCACCGGTGTGCGTTCTCGCGTGTGCCTCCAAATTTGAACGCTGCGCGAAGCTCTTCCCGCATTGCTGGCACGAGTGCGGCTTCTCGCCGGTGTGCGTTCTTGTGTGCTTCTCCAAATCGGAACGCTGCGTAAATCCCTTTCCGCACTCCGTGCACACGTGTGGCCACTCGCCAGTGTGTGACATGGAGTGTGTGGTTAAAGTATAAAACGTTGCAAACCCCTTTCCGCACTCGTTGCAAACATGCGGCTTCTCAACGGTGTGTGTTCTTGCGTGTTTCTCCAAATCGGAACGTTGTGAATATCCCTTCCCACACTCCTTGCACACGTGCGGCTTCTCGCCGGTGTGTGTTCGTGTGTGTTTCTCCAAATCGGAACGCTGCGTAAAGCCCTTCCCACATTCGACGCACACGTGCGGCCACTCGCCCGTGTGCGATATCGCGTGCGTGGTTAAAGTGTAGCACGTTGCAAAGCCCTTCCCGCACTCGTTGCACACATACGGCTTCTCACCGGTGTGTGTTCTCACGTGCTTCTCAAAATCGTAACGCTGTGCAAAGCCCTTATTACACTCCTTGCACACGTGCGGCCACTCGCCCGTGTGTGATATACAATGTGTGGCTAAGTTGGAACGCTTTATAAACCCCTTCCCGCACTCGTTGCACACGTGCGGTTTCTCACCTGTGTGTGTTCTAGTGTGCGCCTCTAATGTCGATCGCTTAGAAAAGCCTTTCCCGCACTCCTTGCACACGTGCGGCTTCTCGCCGGTGTGCGTTCTTGTGTGCGTCTCTAAATCAGAACGCTGTGCAAATCCCTTTCCGCACTCTGCGCACTTGTGCGGCCACTTGCCGGTGTGCGATAGGGAGTGTGTGGTTAAAGTATAAAACGTTGCAAACTCCTTCCCGCACTCCTTGCACACGTGCGGCTTCTCGCCGGTGTGCGTTCTGATGTGCGCCTCTAATGTAGAACGTTGTGAACACCCCTTCCCACACTCGTTGCACACGTACGGCTTCTCTCCGGTGTGTGTTCTCGCGTGCTTCTCTAAATCGGAACGTTTTGAAAACGCCTTCCCACACTCGTTGCACACGTGTGGCCACTTGCCCGTGTGTGACATACAGTGTGTGGTTAAGGCAGAGCGCTTTGTAAACCCCTTCCCACACTCCTTGCACACATGCACCTTCTCACCGGTGTGTGTCCTAACAAGCACTTCTAATGTAGATCGTTTTGAAAAGTCCTTCACGCACTCCATGCGAACGTGCGGCTTCTCGCCGGTGTGTGTTCGTGCGTGTTTCTCTAAATCTGAACGTTGTGAAAAGCCCTTCCCGCACTCGGTGCACACGTGCGGCTTCTCGCCCGTGTGTGTTCGTGCGTGTTTCTCTAAATCGGAACGTTGTACAAAGCCCTTTTGACACTCCTTGCACACGTGCGGCCACTCTCCCGTGTGTGATATCGCGTGTCTGGCTAAGGTAGAGCGCTTTGTAAACCTCTTGCCACACTCTTTGCACACGTGCGGCTTCTCGCCCGTGTGTGTTCTCATGTGCGTCTCTAAACCAAAACGCGTTGTAAACCCCTTGGCACACTCCTTACACACGTGCTTCCTTCCATCGGTAGCCACTGCCGTGCACAACGCGATGCCTTCAAGTGCCTTCCCACACTGCTTGCAGGCTCGCCGGTTCTTGTTGCTGGTGCGTTCTGCCTTGTCCGTCGTATTTGTTTTGAAGCAACTGCCCTTCCCGCATTCTTTGCACAGAAGGTCCATTTCTTTTCCTTCACCTGCTGCGCATTTTGAAAATGAAAAAGGACATTTCGATTAACTGATGCAAGATAAAAAAAAAATGAGTGCCAGAACAGCACCAATTGCAATGAAGTTAAGCAAGCCCTTCTGGATCCATGTGTTTAACATTTAACAATACGAGATGATGCTTGGAATAAATGGAGTTCAAAGGAACTCACAAACAAACACCACCTTGTTGTGAAAGATACAACGAAGAATACCCTTAGGTTTAATCTTACACGTAGCTCATAGTCCGACCGAAACCACATCCGCACAAACCATGTCAGATGCGGATATCTGATGCACAAATGGAAAATAGAAAAATCTCCAGTAGTGTGCGACTGTGGTCATCCAGAACAGACCGTACTCTCCGTACACAACGTATAACGACGCAATGCCCCGATCCACAAATACGAAGGAGACATCGCAGCGATACACTCCGCTGCTCCTGACGTGGTTATCTGGCTTGAAATTGTAGTTGTTGATCTGCATCTACAGCAGCCGTACGAAAGATGAAGACCAGTTACATGCTCAGTGATCTTGCTGCAGGGGGTGATCATTTCGTACCCAGGAACGCAACCCTAGTTTTCCCATGAGGTCTGTTATTTGTGACGTGACCAAAGGAAACTCACCTTCACCAACGTCATCCTCTGATAACTCCACTTCGATGAAGTTCTGATCTGGAGTGGCCGGACATCCGTGGGAATCCCCAGTCGCCTCTGGCTTCTCACCGTCTCCTTCAACTTTAACAATATTCACATCTGGAGCTGCGATATATAAAATGTCACAATGGTTTCCTTAATGGATGGGGAAAATAATGCAGGTGATAATGCTATCAAGCTGGTCAGCTACAGTCGTTTATCCGTATACCCTTATAATTCTTGATATCTTGCCTTTGTTTGGCTCTTAATTCTTAGTTTTGCTCTACTGAGCTGTATGCAGGCATCTTACCATCTTCCTTCACTTCGGTTTTCACCGCAATCTCCATTATCTTAGTGTCGAGATTCCCATCATCTTCTTCCTTGACGCCCAGTTCTGCATATATACACGCGCGTTCACACTCCACGTTCGCAGACGATAACTTCCAGAAGGTGGCAGAGCCACAGATATATCCGGGTGGTTCAGGGTTCTATTGCCACAACGCCTCGTGTCACTTACACCGCTATTCCAGTAGCACATCCGAGCAACTGTGCCATGCCAGCCCACCGATGTCACGCACAAAATACGTGACGTCAGGCCCCTTGAAGATTATGGGGGCTTCCAAAGTATATACGCTACTGGGTATTTGGAGAGTTGGGAGGCAGTTGCCCCCTCCACCAACAACGTAGGGCTGAGAAGCACGGCGCTTGCAACGGACGGAGCGCCGGGCGGCTAAAACACACAAAGGTGGCACAGTGGGGAGCATAGGTCTTGCAGTATGTCAGTCATCTGAGGCATTTAACCCAAAATATCCGGGGGTCTCGTCTCTGACCTCCTGCCAGTGACCCTTCGACACTTCACGTGACCTCAAAAGTGCACCTTGCCCGGCACAAGAGTTGTGGTGACGTCACCGTTAATTCAGTTATGGCTCATGTTGATCGGTGGCTCTTAACCGGGGGTGGTACGCTGAACCCTGGTGGGTACACGTGGCAATGTCCCAGGCGGTAACGTGAGATGATTTATTAACGTGTGAAATTATATCTTACGTGAGAGTCATTGGTGAATAATCATGTATGAATCTGCCAATATAAAATAACTACGATAAAATGTGAATCAAAATGCTCCCCTAGAATGATATAAAAGACCTTTCTAAACACACTGATTGTAAGCAGTGTGGTTTCCAAGAGTAACCAGCGAGCGTAAACAAAATTGCGGGCAGGCATTGCTGCAGTTACCAGCAGCTAGGTAGGATGCCCGACAAAATGGACGATTGGTTAAAATATCGATGTTCGTTACTCATACATCGATTTCTCAGAACCATGATGGGTCAGGCAAGGCGGTAGCACGGTTGAGACAAAATTCAACAAGGGGTAGTTTAGAATAGCCACAAAAAAAGGTTGAGAACCACCGGTGTAGAGGATGTAGTGACACTGTGTGTACCGATCGATTCTAAATTAACCAGTCGAGACGTAAGCGATCTATGCAATTAAACGCAGGCAAAATTAACGCCATTCATTCGAACACACGGCGCCACAACAACTCGTCATGCGTGGCGGTTGCACATCCAAGCATGACTCGCATGGGTTTGCACGATGTGCCGAGATTTGGCCCATTCCGTAGTTATAACGGGTCACAGGCATTGCGATCTTACCATAACCACGTTCCATAGTCACGTCAGGATACACCCTGGGGTTTGGAGTCTCATCGTGCTCTTGCTTGATGAGTGGCAACTCAACGTGCGAAGCCATCTGAGAGGAAAGACACACAGACACACCTCGCCAGGTGAGCCATATACATCTGATGCCTATGGCACATTTGCATCCCCAGTGGCGATGTTTACACATCGCATCCGGTACTCGTTCCTCTTCTTTTGCACGGCTGACGTAGACGCAACGTAACGGCAATTGCACATTCGCGTGGTCAAGCCCAGACAACCGCGTCAGGAGGAGCAGCGGAGCAGTGTATCATCATCATCATCGCTGTGATGTCTCCTTCGTATTTGAGGATTGGGGCATTGCGCTGCCATGTGTCGTGTACTGTCTGTTCTGGATGACCACGGTCATTTAAGGCGATTTAACGGAGACCCAGGACCGGTTCAGATATTCGTCACTGGTGTTAGCCGTGACGGGAAGCGAACTCGGGTCTCTAGGGTGATAGCACGGTGCGCGAACTCCTGCACCATCATCGATCCGAACACAGGCCCAACGCTCTGTGATGATTGCATCACCGAGGCGCTTGTGCCAGGCCATGTGCACCTTGAGGCCATGTGAAGTGTCGAAGGCTCGCTGCTGGCAGGAGGTCACGGGGCAGACGCAGTTGCCATGGGTTGACTGCTGTGGCAGGCTAAGTGCAAGAGGTCACGGGGCAGACCCAGGTGCCATGGGTTGACTGCTGTGCCAAGCTAGGTACAGGAGGTCACGGGGCAGACGCAGGTGCCATGGGTTGACTTCTGTGCCAAGCTAGGTGCAGGAGGTCACGGGGCAGATGCAGGTGCCATGGGTTGACTACTGTGCCAGGCTAGGTGCAGGTCACGGGGCAGACGCAGGTGCCATGGGTTGACTACTGTGCCAGGCTAGGTGCAGAAGCAGGTCACGGGGCAGACCCAGGTGCCATGGGTTGACTGCGGTGCCAGGCTAAGTGCAGGAGGTCACGGCACAGACCCAGGTGCCATGGGTTGACTGCTGTGCCAAGCTAGGTGCAGGAGGTCACGGGGCAGACGCAGGTGCCATGGGTTGACTGCTGTGCCAAGCTAAGTGCAGGAGGTCACGGAACAGACCCAGGTGCCATGGGTTGACTGCTGTGCCAGGCTAAGTGCAGGAGGTCACGGAACAGACCCAGGTGCCATGGGTCGACTGACCGAGATGACTGGCAGATGCACCAGGTGTACCCCCTACTGTGACAACTTCCTGCGCTTTATCCACCCGGCGCTCCGATCTTTGTTGTTGTGAGCGTCGCTCCTCTGCCCTCCGTTGACGCAGAAGGGCAACTGCCTCCAAATGCCCGGTAGTTCATAGCGCACCTGGCCTGGCACTAACGCAGTAGTTCATAACGCAGTAGGCTAACAACTCGGCCACCACTCCCCCCCCCCCACCACGTTAGAGTACATTACGAAGATCCTCCGTGTAGCCTTCATCACGCTGTTGTGGCAAGTGCTGTTCGCGAGTTAGCACCTATGAAGGCCGGCGCTGTGGCACACGTGGAGGGGGAGGGGGGTGGATGTCCAGCAGCACGCCCGCTCGCCTGGACGCCTTTGTCTCCCCAGTGGCGATGTTTAACTACACACACATACAGGGCAAATGAAGAAAAGGATACCCAGTATTTGGTGGTGGTGATGCTATTGCTGCTAAACCGTGCTGTACGAACACGGATAACGAACGCGCATCCGTCATACGAACACTCTGCGCGCGTGCGTGCGTGTCCGTGTGTGATCTGTACCGTGCTGGGCGACGTTTCGGGGAACGCCTCCTTCTTCAGAGGGCGCAGAGGCCACGGGGAGGAGGCGCACGTAGGCAGCAAGATGCAGGGACAAGACGGGAACCGTCTGTTTCCTAAACACGAAGACAAAGATCAACCCGCGTCGCCTTAACAGAGTGTAGGGGCAAGTGCTGTTAACGAGCAGCACCTGCGAAGGCCGGCACGGCACACGAGGGGGGTGGGTGGTCAGCAGCACCGCGACCCGGCCGCCTTTGTCTCCCCAGTGGCGATGTTTACTACGCACCGGCTACTTATTTGAGGCTGAGTCGACCTAGGGGAGGCACCCAGGACCGGTTCAGATAATCGTCACCGGCGCTGGTGGCCGCGAGCAAGAATCGAACTCGGGACGCCGGGTTCGTAGCGCAGCAGCGTATAGCGCTAACCGCTGCACCACCGCTCCCCTTCCTGGACGCACATGGGACACGGTTCGCTCCTACTCCCAGCGATAATTCTGACTCAAGGCCGTAATTATAATAAATATGCTCAAAATATCCACCTCCCCCCCCCGACCTCCCAATATATTGCTATAAAATAGATATCTGTGTATATAATTGTGGTTATGGTTGTGCTTTATGAATCCCGAATCTCTGCCATTATATACAATGAAATAAGAAAATTAAAAATATATTTAAAAAATAGCAATGTAAATACAATAACACTATTAGACATTATTGTAAAAAAACAAATAAAAAGTCCATCTTATGTGTTAGTGAATTTTTTTTATATTTTAGGCAGGAAATTCGTTTTTAAATTTAGATTTTTTTTCTGGGGGGGGGGGGTGGGACCCCCAGACCCCCTGGAAGATTTGGTCCCCCCCAATTTTGAGTCCATGGCTACGGCCTTGCAATAAGTTTAACACCTCAGTGGGGTTACTCTTTGTTTTTTTCGGTAAAGTCAAGTATAAATAATTAAAAAAGAAAATTATATAATAGCATGCGACGTTTCGATTGCAACACAAGCAATCATCATCAGGTACAGAAGAGCTAAATTTAAGAGAGAGAGGAAACACAACCGCAGATAAGAGGGAATTAACACAGACACACCAGGGGATACAGAGAGAGACGGAGCACACTAAATCAAACAGGGTTTAGCAAAATTTGGAAACTATACAAAGCAACACAGACGGTCGGTTAAAGCACAATTAACGCATGCGCTGGTAGATTACGCTATTTCAAAGATTGCTAAATTGTAAGTTAAGTGTGAAATTTAAGAGAGTGATAGAGCACAGACCGTGAAGAGACACATGGGGAGAGACAGGCACACAGTGAAGAAGTAAAGCCGAATCTCTGTGACGACGCCTTAGATAGACAGAGACGGTGGGGCTGGAGCTCAGAGACAATGGGCTTTTCCTGGTAGGATGGGGATGGTTTAATTGTTGTATTTGTGTGTGTTTTTGTGATTTGGTTTAGGGCTGAACGATTAACCCGATTTCAAATCGAAATCGCAATTTGAAACAATGCGGTTAGCAAATCGCAAAGGCAGCGATTTTTTGCGATTTAAAAAATCCTATTACTTATTGTGATTGTTTTATTATTTTATTGTTATAACTGTATTTATTTAACTTAATTGTTCCATGTGTGATTGTTCTGTGTCAATTAAAACGTTTTAATAAATACAAGTTGGAAGCAATTCATATCTTTTAAGTTCTCATCCTTGCGTTATAATATATAGAGCAGTTCATATTTTGATGGTATCACGTGGTAATGCTCCATCACATGTTTTAAATCTGTTACACAGTCAGCATTGAACTGAAGCTCGGCTTAAAAAACATGTTTTAATCGCGAATCAAATCGCAATATGTTTGAAAAATCTCAATTAGACATTTTCCCCAAATCGTTCATCCCTATCTTTTTGGTTCTTTCGGTAAAGTCACCACGTAGAATGAGAATAAAATTATAAAAAATAAAACGTAATAAAATAAAATTCTCACGACGTTTCGGCCACAACACAAGTAGCCTTAAATTTCGATTTAAAGCTTTCGTGACTGCAAGGATTCATCTTCTTTGGTTCTTTCGGTAAAGTCACGTAGAATGAGAATAAAATAATAAAATAAAACAATAAAATTCTCACGACGTTTCGGCCACAACACAAGTGGCCTTCTTCATGTGAAAGGAACAAACCTGTCGGGACGACAGAGCTACAATGTAGCTACAATGTAGCTCTGTCGTCCCGAAGAAGGGCACTTGTGTTGTGGCCGAAACGTCGTGAGAATTTTACTGTTTTATTTTATTATTTTATTCTCATTCTACGTGACTTTACCGAAAGAACCAAAGAAGATGAATCCGTGCAGTCACGAAAGCTTTAAATCGTTCAGCCCTAGTTTGATTACGCAGCTTGTTTGTGTGCTGTGTTTGTACTCTTTGGTTCTATTCGGTAAAGTCACAAAAATCACGACGTTTCGGCCACAACACAAGCGGCCGTCATCAGGTGAAGGGACCAGGCTGTCTCGAAGACAGCGCTGGAGTGAAACAGAGCCAAGCTCAGACCGCGACCTTTAAGCTGTGCGAGAGGGATTAAGGTGCCTCGACAAAGGAATTAGCATAAAAAAATTAGCATTTGATTGGCGGACTTAGCATGGTGAAAGGTGTAGCACGCGGCAGTGCACCTTTCATCGCAGTCTGAGCTCGCCTCTGTTTCACTCCAGCGCAGTCTTCGAGACAGGCTGGTCCCTTCACCTGATGAAGGCCGCTTGTGTTGTGGCCGAAACGTCGTGATTTTTGTTGTTTTATTTTTTTACCTACGTGACTTTACCGAATAGAACCAAAGAGTGTGGATCCTTGCAGTCACGAAAGCTTCAAATCTAGAATTGCTGTGTTTGTGGTTGTAACGTTCTGACCCCGTGACCCTACTGGACCTCTGTGACCCCCCCCAAATAGCTCTACAGCTCAACCTGATTCCTCATGCAGGATAAATTAATATTCTGATCATATCTCGAGACGGGAAGAGGGTTGAATCATTTTAATTGGTTTAGGGGCCGTCCATAAATGACGTCACGCACCTAGGGGGTTGGGGGGTGGGGTCAGACATTTGTGACGATGGGGGGGGGGGGTGGTTGAGAAATGTGACGTCACATCAAAATGCGCAACTTTATAAATAAATATAGACAACACGTTCTACTTAATTAAAATTACTTTTTAATAAATGTTTTCTCCTACAACATCAGAGTGCAGCGCCACATTAAATACGCAACTACTACAATGACAATAGTTTAAAGCGATTTGAAGCATACCATTTTGATTTAAAGCTTTCGTGAGTGCAGTAATTCATATTCTTGGTTCTTTCGGTAAAGTCACGTTGAAGGGAAACAATAAAATAATAAATAAAAATATAAAAACAATAACAATTCTCACGACGTTTCGACTGTAACACAAACAGTCATCATCAGGTGTGAAAACCAACGGCAAGAAGCATCACACCTGATGATGACTGTTTGTGTTACAGTCGAAACGTCGTGAGAATTTTATTGTTTTATATTTTTATTATTTTATTGTTGCTGTGGTTTTCACACCTGATGATGACTGTTTGTGTTACAGCCGAAACGTCGTGAGAATTTTATTGTTTTATATTTTTTTTATTTTATTGTTTCCCTTCAACGTGACTTTACCGAAAGAACCAAGAATATGATTTGAAGCATGTTTTATATTTTTTTTGGGGGGGGGGCAGAGCTTTGTGACGTCATATTTGAGGGGGGGGTCTGACTTTTTGTGACGCCGTGTGATGAAGGAGGGGGGGTAAAAATCGTGACGTCATTTATGGACGGCCCCTTTAGGAAACGGACGCTGCGCGTCTTATCCCTGCATCTTGTTGCCACCCTGGGCGCCTGCTCCGCTCCACCTCCTCCACGTCGCCTCGAGGCCCTCTCTGAAGAAGGAGCCGTGCCCCGAAACGTCGCCCAGCACGGTAGAGGTACCCCCCCCCCCCCACGTCTAGGGTAACCACACGGTGTGTAGTAAACGCCGCCACTGTGGAGAGACAAAGGCGGCCGGGCGTGGTGCTGGCCACCCATGCCGTCGTGTGCCCTTCCGGCCTTCATAGGTGCACTCGCTATTAACAGCACTTGCCCCTACAGCCTGCTAGAGGCTACACGGGGGATCTTTGTCTGTGTATAGTTGCTACTGACAGCACTTGCCCCTACAGCCTGCTAGAGGCTACACGGGGGACCTTTGTCTGTGTCTCCTGCATAGGTGAAGCTACTCGCTGCTAGCAGCACTTGCCCCTACAGCCTGCTAGAGGCTACACGGGGGACCTTTGTGTATAGTTGCTCCTGACAGCACTTGCCCCTACAGCCTGCTAGAGGCTACACAGGGGACCTTTGTCTGTGCATAGTTGCTCCTGACAGCACTTGCCCCTACAGCCTGCTAGAGGCTACCTGGGGGACCTTTGTCTGTGTCCTTGTATGTATTTCGTATTGCCCTTTTGAGAAATAACAATAATAGTAATAATAACAAATAAATTACCCTAGCTTTCACGGAGGCCCCAGGCTTTACTTATTATAAGTTAACGATTTTAAATTCGAACAATTGTTATTGTTATTTCGTTATTATATTTTGTCATTTTTATTCGCTGCAAATGTATAAATACTGTCTCGTTAATATATATTTGCTTTTGAATTCAAGTAAAAACATTATTTTTTGCATCAACCGTACGTAGTTTTTTTTTTAAAGCGTTAAGTTCATGAAATTGTTTTGTTAGGTGTGTAAATAACGTATGTGTGTCTTTTTAGACGTGTCTGTGTGCACCTAGCCTGGCACGGACGCTGTGTATTGGTGGTAAGTGTATATGTTTGTGTGTATGTGGGGAGCGGTGGGTGTAGTGGTTAGCGCGCTGCGCTATGAACCCGGCCACCCGGGTTCGATTCCCGCTCACGGCCACCACCAGTGACGATTATCTGAACCGGTCCTGGGCCTCCCCTAGGTCGACTCAGCCTCAAATGAGTACCTGGTGCGATATGTAGTAGTGTAGTAAACATCGCCACTGGGGAGACAAAGGCGGTCGGGCGTGGTGCTGGCCACACACCCCCTCGTGTGCCACAGTGCCGGCCTTCATAGGTGCTCGCTAACAGCACTTGCCCCTGCAGTCTGTTACAGGCTACACGGGGGATCTTTGTCTTTGTTTAGCTATGTGCATCTATGCTCACGTATATTATAGGTGTGTAGTTGTGTGTCCATGTATATATATGGGTGCGTGTAGGTGTGTTGCAGCGTTAGTTTTTACGTGTATATATGCGTGTAGTTTGTGTGTTAGTTCATGTATCTATGTGCGTAGCTGCGTCTGTGTCGTAGTTTTTACGTACATAAGTGAAACCTCGTTAATGCGGTAGTTGATCATTCATAATCGGGAGATAATTCTGCACGGCTGCGCTCTCGGCATGCATGCGGCATATTCGCACTTCGCCAATGTGCCGAATTGCCGCACAGAATACTCAAATTTCGTGGCATAGCCACGACCAATACAATTGCTCGGTCTGGTGACAGCGCGCGTGGTGAGCATTCGTGCAGACCAGTCGCTTTGGACTTCACCTTGTTCACGCACCCTGTGCAACCAACCCTCTCGGAAATGTCCTCTGCGCCCACATCAAGAAGTAATCGAAAGGAACTGAAGTATAGAGTGAGGGAAAAAAAGTATTTGATCCCCTGCTGATTTTGTACGTTTGCCCACTGACAAAGAAATGATCAGTCTATAATTTTAATGGTAGGTTTATTTGAACAGTGAGAGACAGATTAACGACAAAAAAATCCAGAAAAAACGCATGTCAAAAATGTTATAAATTGATTTGCATTTTAATGAGGGAAATAAGTATTTTGACCCCCGCTCAATCAGGAAGATGTCTGACTCCCAGGTGTCTTTTATACAGGTAACGAGCTGAGATTAGGAGCACACTCTTAAAGGGAGTGCTCCTAATCTCAGCTTGTTACCTGTATAAAAGACACCTGTCCACAAAAGCAATCAATCAATCACATTCCAAACTCTCCACCATGGCTAAGACCAAAGAGCTCTCCAAAGATGTCAGGGACAAGATTGTAGACCTACACAAGGCAGGAATCGGCTACAAGACCATTGCTAAGCAGTTTGGCGAGAAGGTGACAACAGTTGGTGCGATTATTCGCAAATGGAAGAAACACAAAAGAACTGTCAATCTCCCACGGCATGGGGCTCCATGCAAGATCTCACCTCGTGGAGTTGCAATGATCATGAGAACGGTGAGGAATCAGCCCAGAACTACACGGGAGGATCTTGTCAATGATCTCAAGGCAGCTGGGACCATAGTCACCAAGAAAACAATTGGTAACACACTCTGTGGTTTTATTCGGTAAAGTCACGTAGGTAAAAAAATAAAATAACAAAAAATCACGACGTTTCGGCCACAACACAAGTGGCCTTCATCAGGTGAAGGGACCGGACTGTCCAGAGAACAGCGCTGGAGTGAACACAGCCAAGCCCAGACCGCGTCCTTCAAGCTGTGTGGGAGCAAACAAAGTGCCTTGACAAAGGAGTTAGCATAAAGATTAGCATGTAATTGGGGGATTAGCTTGATGCACGTAGAGGGAACATGTTCAGACCGGTGAAGGGGGGGGGGGAGTTTACATAATGTTAGTGTGAAGGGAAAATAAGCAGCTGTGAAAGTTTGGGATACCACTACTTGAAAAAATATACTGTACCATTGAAAATTAGTTTAATGTTTGGTTTGATTTAGAACATCTTTCCAGTGATTGCTTAATTTGAAACCATCCTCTCGGTTGAAATTGTGTCTTTGTAAATCTGAATTGCCTCGTGGACAAATCTCTGATAAAAACCGGTAGGTTTGCAGAGAACCTTGGTATCGGAGAAAACTATATCGTGATCACCCACAGCATTGTAACAGTGATCAGCTACGGCAGAAGAATTCGTTCTGCCGTGTTTCAAATCTGATTTGTGCTCGCGAATTCGGTCAGAGATATGTCGTTTCGTCTCCCCAATATAGCAGTCACCACAGGTGCAGCTCAATTTGTAAACCCGGGGGTACTGTAAGTCACATGACTTTACCGAATAAAACCAAAGAGTATGGATCCTTGCAGTCACGAAAGCTTCAAATCTAGAATTGGTAACACACTACGCCATGAAGGACTGAAATCCTGCAGCGCCCGCAAAGTCCCCCTGCTCAAGAAAGCACATACATGCCCGTCTGAAGTTTGCCAATGAAATCTGAATGATTCAGAGGACAACTGGGTGAAAGTATTGTGGTCAGATGAGACCAAAATGGAGCTCTTTGGCATCAACTCAACTCGCCGTGTTTGGAGGAGGAGGAATGCTGCCTATGACCCCAAGAACACCATCCCCACCGTCAAACATGGAGATGGAAACATTATGCTTTGGGGGTGTTTTTCTGCTAAGGGGACAGGACAACTTCACCGCATCAAAGGGACGATGGATGGGGCCATGTACCATCAAATCTTGGGTGAGAACCTCCTTCCCTCAGCAAGGGCATTGAAAATGGGTTGTGGATGGGTATTCCAGCATGACAATGACCCAAAACACACGGCCAAGGCAACAAAGGAGTGGCTCAAGAAGAAGCACATTAAGGTCCTGGAGTGGCCTAGCCAGTCTCCAGACCTTAATCCCATAGAAAATCTGTGGAGGGAGCTGAAGGTTCGAGTTGCCAAACGTCAGCCTCGAAACCTGAATGACTTGGAGAAGATCTGCAAAGAGGAGTGGGACAAAATCCCTCCTGAGATGTGTGCAAACCTGGTGGCCAACTACAAGAAACGTCTTATCTCTGTGATTGCCAACAAGGGTTTTGCCACCAAGTACTAAGTCATGTTTTGCAGAGGGGTCAAATACTTATTTCCCTCATTAAAATGCAAATCAATTCATAACATTTTTGACATGCGTTTTTCTGGATTTTGTTGTTATTCTGTCTCTCACTGTTCAAATAAACCTACCATTAATATTATTGACTGATCATTTCTTTGTCAGTGGGCAAATGTACAAAATCAGCAGGGGATCAAATACTTTTTTACCTCACTGTAGTTGATTACATTCTTCCAAATATTGCTAAATTTGAGAGAGAGACAAAACACAGACACGGAGACGCAGACAGACACAAGCAGAGATAGACACAGAGACACAGAGAGAGACACATGACACACATGTCTCTATCTGTGTCTCTCTCTGCTTGTGTGTCTATATGTCTCCGTATCTGTGTTTTGTCTCTCTCTCAAATTTAGCAATATTTGGGTTCATGTAGGGCAGGGGTGGGGAACGCGAAATCATTTGGGTCTGGCCCTGCCAAGCCAACCGCAGGCGGGACTCGAAATTCAATAAATCTAGGAGCAAACCTGTTGCTAGTAGCAACATCATCAATACCAGCTAACATCATCACCACGCCTCGCCAAAGAGAAGCAGTTCCAGCCCATCGCATTAGCGGTGAGTTAATGAAATGTTTGACCAAATATAACGGGCTTATTTTTAAGTTGATAATTTTGTATGGCCCCGCGAATGATGTTACAAATATCCAAATGGCCCTTGGCAGAAAAAAAAAAGGTTCCTCCACCCCTGCTGCAGGGAAACAAAAAGAAGGACGCAGGTGGGTGTCTTATTTGGAACCGTGAACCAAACCCCTCGTCGTGAGTTTGCGGACCGTGGATTTACCGGCTACGGCAGTTCTCAAGAATGTAACCACCGTGATGAGCAAGTTTTTAAAGTAGACCTCGCATCCTAGATGATCATGGTGGAAATGGGCCGGTTGTGGAAATGGGCCGGTTGTGGAAATGGGCCGGAACACCGTGGTATGAGTGAGAATTTAAACCCGACTGCATTTGGGAAGGAATCAAGGATTCGTCGTATTTATTTCATTCACAGATAGACACTTTTACGATTTCTCTTTACAATCACCGACATATGTAACGTAGGCTAAACGATCGACCCAAAACACACAGCCAAGGCAACAAAGGAGCGGCTCAAGAAGAAGCACATTAAGGCCCTGGAGTGGCCTAGCCAGTCTCCAGACCTTAATCCCATAGAAAATCTGTGGAGGGAGCTGAAGGTTCGAGTTGCCAAACGTCAGCCTCGAAACCTGAATGACTTGGAGAAGATCTGCAAAGAGGAGTGGGACAAAATCCCTCCTGAAATGTGTGCAAACCTGGTGGCCAACTACAAGAAACGTCTGACCTCTGTGATTGCCAACAAGGGTTTTGCCACCAAGTACTAAGTCATGTTTTGCAGAGGGGTCAAATACATATTTCCCTCATTAAAATGCAAATAAATTTATAACATTCTTGACATGCGTTTTTCTGGATTTTGTTGTTGTTATTCTGTCTCTCACTGTTCAAATAAACCTACCATTAAAATTATAGACTGATCATTTCTTTGCCAGTGGGCAAACGTACAAAATCAGCAGGGGATCAAATACTTTTTTTCCCTCACTGTAAGTCCATAAGTCTGCGGGATAAATCCAAAGTTTTGGATAGAATTGATGCGGGTGCGCCAATGCGTATGGTGTGCGAAGAGTTTGACATAAAATCAGGCACCTTTTACGACATCAAGAAAGGCCGGGAGAAGATCAGGAAGCATGCCTTAACCTTGGAGGATCCTAGTGGCTCCAAAAGGGTACAGAAGAGGATCAAGGCCACGAAGTTTGTCGACCTGGATAGTGCAGTGTTCAAGTGGTACAAACAGGAGCGTGCAGCTGGCGTGAACGTTCGCGGCGTGGACATTCAACACGCTGCAGTACGCCTGGCGCAGCGCCTGCATATTCAGGACTTCAACGCAGGCGCTTCCTGGCTGTTCAACTTTCGAAGTCGTCACTGCATGGGAAACCGCCAAGTTGTTGGAGAGTCTGCAAGTGCTGACCAGGCCAGTGTTGATCCCTTTAGGAAGCGCCTGGTCGAGATTATTGAAGAATCACAACTCACGGCCCGGGTATACAACGCTGATGATACAGGCCTCTTGGGATTTTTTGTTTGTTATTGGGGCAGGAGGCAATGTACATAATTTGTGAATATTGGAAAATTCGGCAAGGCCAGATCACCATGTGTTGAATTAACAAGGTTTTACTGTACGTGTGCGTGCTTCATTAGTAGGGAGTGTTAGTGCAGCGGTTAGCGCGCTGCGTTATGAATCCGGCGACCAGAGTTCGATTCCCGCTCACGGCCACCACCAGTGACGATTATCTGAACCGGTCCTGGTCCTCACCTAGGTCGATTCAGCCTCAAATGAGTACCTGGTGCGGTGTGTAGTAAACATCACGACTGGGAACACAAAGGCGGTCGGACGTGGTGGTGGCCAAACAACCTCCTCATGCGCTGTGCCGGCTGGCCATCATAGTTGCTACTCGCTAACAGCACTTGCCCCAACAGTCTGTTGAAGCTATATGGGGGATCTTTGTATATTTTTCGTGTGTGCTTCATTTTTGTGACCTGCCAGCAAGCCTTTTGACACTTCACCTGGCTTCGAGGGGCAGTTAGCCTGACACAAGCGTCGTGGTGACGTCATCATCATTTAGTGTTTGCACGTATGTGGGGAGTGATAGCGCATTAGTTAGCGTGCTGTGCTATGAATCCACATAGACCCAACATCGATGCCCGCTCACGACCAATATCAGTGAAGAATTTGTGAACCGATCCTGGGCCTCCATTAGATTTCCTAAAATGAGCGCTTGGTGCAGTTCGTAAACATCACCACTAGGGAGACAAAGGTGGCCAGACAGGGTATTGGCCACAACACCCCCTTAATAAGTGCGAACTAGCATTACTTGTCCCATTTGTCTTCGTGGCTGTGTGGAGATAATCTTGATTTGAAGCTTTCGTGACTGCAGGAATCCATACTCTTTGGATCTTTCGGTAAAGTCACGTAGGTATAAAATTAAATAAATCACGACGTTTCGGGCACAACACAAGCGTCCATCAGGTGGGAAAGCATGGCCTTCTGCTGAGGCAGACTGGTTTAAAAGGTTTGAAATGGGTGTAGCTCAAGGGTTATAAAGAAGTGGCCGGGGCTAGTGATGGTTTGCCTTGCAGTGAAACGCACACCTGACGAGGTGTCTGGGTGCCTGTGTCCTATCAGATGGCGTCACACGTGGAGTTGCCATTCATCAAACAAGAACACGATGAAACTTCAAGCCCCAGGATGTATCCCGACGTGACGGTGAAGTTGGATGCTGGTAAGATTACACTGCTTGTGGCCAGGTGTTCGGCAACCTTTCAAAGAAGGAGAGCCATTTTATTGGTCTTTGATCAAAATAGCTCGAGAACCGTATCACACACACAGAGCTACGTGTACACAAAACACAGCAGCAGGTATACAGCAGATAACCAACACGTTCTGACTTCAATAAACAAAATAGGCGATGGAATAAACTGTCTATTGTGTCTAGTTGTCTTTCCCCGCTTAGTTATTCTTTATCATTACAGTTTCTACATTCTTTTGTCACCAAGCCATTCCATAGCGACCCCATTCCCTGCCATATTTAATCAATTATCTTTACGTTAAATTACGTTTTAAGATGAATGTTTTTTTTTAAACCGGCTACCCGCAAGGGGGCATCCAAACTAGTCGCTATACGGCTCCGGTGCCCGCAGGTTGCCGACCCCCTGCATATGAACGAACAACGTGGAATGTGCCCAAGCTCGTCACATCTCGCAAAGCTAAGCAGGGTTCCAGTCTTGAGTCATGCTTGCGTGGGGCACCGATTTGGAAGTTACCGTCTGTCACAGTGGAGTGTGTGAACGCGTGTGTGTGCGCGCAGGACCGGCTGTCAAGGAAGAAGATGGTGGGAGTCTGGGCACTGATATGATGAATATTGCGTTGAAAACTGAAGTGGACGATAATGGTAAGATCCCCTGAATACAGCTAGGTACAGCAAAACCAAGAAACTAAGAATTCCAGCAATATAAGGATAAATGACTAACCGGCCAGTTTTACTGCATTATTTTCTGTATTCTATCTCCCATCCATCAAAGACAACAATTAATTTTCTATATGACAGGTCCATATCTGAAGATTGAAGGGATCAGTGAGAGGCCAGAGGAGCCGGAAGATTCCCATGAATGTCTGGCCGCCTCAGACCAGAACTTCATCGAGGTGGAGTTATCAGAGGAGGACAGTTGTAAAGGTGAGTTTCCTTTGGTCACGTCATGGAGAAAAATGCAATGTTTTCTTGTATTATCACCAGCCATATTCCACGGTGGCGAGATGACCTTGATGCCTGTATATTTAGAGTTTGCATGTTCTCCCAATTTTTATCCGGGTACTCCCGTTTTCCTCCTCCACATTTAGAAACATGCGTTTAGAGAATTTGGCTGCAATGAAATGTCCATGTAATACGCCACTTTGTTGAGCTATCATGTGTGGCCAGGTCGCTTCTGAAAAATAACTACAGTGAGGGAAAAAAGTATTTGATTCCCTGCTGATTTTGTACGTTTGCCCACTGACAAAGAAATGATCAGTCTATAATTTTAATGCTAGGTTTATTTGAACAGTGAGAGACAGAATAACAACAAAAAAATCCAGAAAAACGCATGTCAAAAATGTTATAAATTGATTTGCATTTTAATGAGGGAAATAAGTATTTGACACCCTCTCAATCAGAAAGATTTCTGGCTCCCAGGTGTCTTTTATACAGGTGTAGTGGTCGACTTGACGCAGACAACTTTATTGTTTTCTCCGACACCACTTTTATTACAACTCTTCACATTATGTCTGTGACTTCGTCATTCCGCTTAGCCGCAGCTCGCTTGCCGTGCTCCGCCCATCTCGCTCACTCCGCTTCCTCCCCTATCCCTCACTGTCCCTCTGTGTCATCCCTCTGCGTCATCCCTGTCTCTCTTCGTCACTCGCTGTCTCTCTCCGTCACTCGATGTCTCCTCTCCCGCTGTCTCTGTATCTCGCTCCCGCTCTGTCTCTGCCTCTCTCTGCCCGTCTCTGCTTGTCTCTGCTTGTCTCTACTTGTCTCTGCTTCTCCCTATACCACAGCTAGCCTGTTCTGTCTCCTATGTCTTCGCTCCGGTTCTCCCCGACCTGCTTCGTTCCAGTCCCAGCGACAGCTCCCCTCGTTCTTCCCGTCTCCCGAATATATCCCCGTTCTCATTACCAACCAATGAATTAGGCCGTGTGCCACCGATGCCCCGCGTCCCCCCGCACCCCCCCGCAGCTGTTACTTGCCCCCTCTATTACCAGACATTCCGGCGCCACTCCGCCCTTAACAACCCCGGCCAATCACCGCCATACATTGCTTACCAACTTAATTGGCCCGTTATTACTTCACAGTTCCCCGCTGCTGCACCTGGCCGGCCCGACATAACCCCACTGTCCATAACTCACGCGTCTTTACCATACCATCCACCCTGTATGAGCGTTTTAATCCACGACATCACCACCCCCCCCCCCCCCACAACAACAATCCGACACCTGAACAGTGGTGAGCAACAATAACATCATACAACAATTAACAACAATGGCGTCGCTTAACGACGTATGTACAGCAGCCGTTTAAGGCGCGTTGTCAATGGAAAGTCCTTCCTCGGGAGCGGGTTCCAGCGGCTGGTCCATCACCCCTGAAAGGGTCAATACGGGACAAGGGCGGGGAACGCTCCCTCGTTAACACGGGGCTGCGTCCTGTCCTCGATGCGTGCCCCTCCTCGTCGCAGCGATCATCAGCTGGCGTGATCGCATCCCGCTCCTGTGCATCCCGGGCCGCTTCCCGAGGTTGTGGCTGTCCAACCGGCCTACGGCCAGAGAATCTGCCAGAAAGCCTCCTCCGAGTTAATAATGGCGGTCCTGCAGGCACATGGGAGGCAGACTGCTGAGGCGCGTTCACATACGACCATACCACAGGTTCGTCGGACACATCCAACACAGGCCGCTTTGGGATGGGAGATGACGCGTCGTAGGGAGGTACAAATTTCTTAAGACGCGACGGGTGAACATGCCATACGCGGCGACCAAAGCGAATCCATACACTCTGGTCCCGACGAGTTTCCACAATCTCGACGGGGCTCTGCCAGGGTCGATGGAACTTTGGAGACGTGCCCACTGGCACCATGGGGCAGTGCAGCCAAGCCCTGTCCCCCACACGCCAGGGCTCCCAAGGAGGCTGTGTGCCATGCAACCGTTCGTTGGCGGCTTGCCGTCTCGCGGTGTTACCCAACGAGGCCTCCCTAGCCTCCTTCAGACGGTCCAATGCCACCTGCATGGGGGCAGGTACCGCCGACGACTTCCCTCGCGCCTGCACGTCCAATCTGACCAGGGCCGCGGCCTCCGGCTCCCGACCGTACATTAAATAGAAGGGCGAGTACCCCGTCGAGGCATGCAGGGCCAGCCTGTAAGCGGCTAGGGTTGCCTGAACGTATAGATCCCAATCATTCTGCGCGGAGTTGACCTGTTGGCATAGCATAGACGTTAGCGTCCTATGCAGGCATTCGACCATCCCGTCAGTTTGCGGGTGGTACGGGGACGTCTGAATCTTTTTAGTTCCTAGTGAATCACACGCTTCTTTAAGTAACCGGGATGATAAATTTTTGCCTTGATCGGTGAGCAGGTGTTCCGGGGCACCTTTATCAAGGACGTATCCTTGCAGGAAAGCTTCAGCGATCGACCCCGCAGATTGGTCCACCAATGGCCATGGCATAGGCCAGCGAGTGAGGTACTCGATGCCCACGAGCAAGTATTTGTGACCCCTTGGGGTGACGGGAAACGGACCCAATATGTCTAGGGCAACAATTTTGTTGACACGGGAAACCTGTATCGATTGCAATGGCACGCGATAGGGTTGCGCCGGCACCTTCCGCTGTGCGCATTTGTGGCAGGACTTAGTAAATCGTTGAACATCGTTATGCATGCCCGGCCAGTAAAAATCCTTCCCCAAGGTCAGCGCGGTTTTTTTTTCACCCAAATGCATCAGTTTCTCATGCGTATCATGAATGAGCTTTCCTCGCAACTACAACGGACAACAACATATAATTTTTGCAGTTCGACGTCCCAGCGCACGAGGAGACCGTCGATAAGCCGAAGGAAGGGGCGATCCTCCGATCCCCTCGAACGAGAGGCCCGAAGCCTCATTCTGGCCAGGGAGGAATCCTCCATCTGTAGGCGCTTCCAATGGGCCAGCGTCAACCCCAATATGCCGGACGCCTCGGCGGGAACCCCCTCCGCTGTGACCGAATCGGCTGCGGCGACCATAGCCGGAACGCCCTGCAGCGGTGGACCGCAACGCAGCGAGCCCTCTGCACACCGACACGAGCCGGTCGGCTGCGGCAACCGCGATAAAGCGTCGGCGTTGACATGACGCGTCCCCTTCCTATGTTGGATCGTAAAGGAATACCCTTGCAGGATTTTGAGCCAACGGGCCATCTGGCCCGAAGGCTGGTCAACCCGCAAGGAGTATTGCAGTGCCGCCTGGTCAGTGCGGACCAAAAATTCCCTGCCATACAAGTACGGTCGGTACAGCCGGACAAAGTGCATGATGGCCAGCAGTTCCCTGCGCGTCACGCAAGTTTTTAGCTCAGTCGGAGACAACACGTGGCTGCCGTACGCCACAACTCTCTCAACACCGTCGATATTTTGCGACAAGATGGCGCCTATGCCAGTGTCACTGGCATCTGTGTCAAGGATAAACATTTTCATGAATTCCGGATATCCAAGCGGCGGCGCGTCCGCCAAAGCGCCCCGAAGTGTCTCATATGAACGCTGTTCCTCGTCACCCCAGAGGAACTTCTTACCCTTACCGGTCAACGTGTGCAGCGGCCTTGCAATTGTGCCAAAATCTTTCATGAATTGGCGGTAATATGACGCAAAGCCCACGAAGCTACGCACTTCTGACACCGTTTTTGGCACTGGCCACGTGCGTACGCAGCTCGTTTTGTCCGGATTAGTGGCGACTCCCGATGCACTAACAACGCGACCCAAGTATTTAACGGACGTCCTCAGCAAATGGCACTTTTGGGGCTTAAATTTAAAGTTGGTGTGCCGCACTCGGCCAAACACGGCACGCAACCGCTGCAAATGTTCGTCAAAATCTTTACTGAAAACAATGACGTCGTCAAGGTATATTAAGCACGATTCCCACTGCAATCCGGGCAACACAAGTTCCATCAGGTGTTGGAAGGTGGCCGGCGTGGAGTGGAGCCCCATCGGAAGCACGTTAAATTGGAACAATCCCTGTGGTGTTTGGAAGGCAGTTTTTGGCTTAGACTCCTCGTCCAAAGGCAATTGCCAAAATCCCGACAAGAGGTCGAGGGTCGAGAAACATTTCGCGCTGGACAGGGCGTCTAACGAATCATCAATGCGTGGGAGCGGGTACGCATCCGCAACAGAAATCTTATTGAGTTTGCGATAGTCGACGCAAAATCGCAGGGACCCGTCACGTTTCTTAACCAGTACGATAGGAGCCCCCCACGGGCTGGAGGAAGGAGAAACAATCTCTTGTTCCAACATTTCATCCACGGTTTGCCGAATACAATCTTTTTCCAGCGGACTCATGCGATGGGAATTTAGGCGAATCGGGGATGCATCTTTAGTTTCTATGTGATGCCGCAACAGGGACGTACGACCAACATCATATTTGCCCGAACTGAAAACAGCCCTGAACTCCCAACAGCAGCCCATGGAGAGACGACCGCTGCACAGGCGTCAGCTCGGGGTTCTGGATGCACAAATCACGCAACCTGTCTGGTTCATTGTCGCTCGATGGCAATGCATCCCCCACACCCGTTGCCAAGCACGCCTCCCCTTCCGAACCCGGCGCTGCCGTCGCATGCGCTAGCGTGGTCCCCTCTTGAATGACAATGGGCTCGTGCCCCGCATTGACAATCTGTATAAAGGGGTCGCAATTTGCCGGTACCATCGTCAAAGCCCCGACCAAGGTGGGCGTCCGTGACACAGTATTGGAAGGTGTTAGCAATATTCCCCCCACCGGATTATCTAAAGGCAAGCCCTTTTTGAAGCGCAGCGGCATGAGCATCTGCGTGGCAGGCGGAACACGCACTGTGCGGCTAACTACGGCCTGCACCACGCCGTTTGCCGCCCTCAATTTAGACGGGGTTCCCAAAAATTTAAGACATTTCCCAGACGGCAATTCCAAACAACCCCTCTCTATTGAGATCTTGAGCAGCATCCTCTGCAAAAAATCCGTACCCAGCAAACACGGTACCGCCAAGGCTGTGGACACCAAAATATACCCCGTCACGCACACCTCCCCGATCTGGATTGTTGCGAGCATGCGGCCTAAAATCCCAAGGCTACCCCCATTTGGCGCTATACACGGCCCGTCAACCGGTTCCAAGGCCTGGGGCGAGGTTGGCAATGAACGAAAAGTCTGTAAGGAGATGAGGGTCGCCGAAGCCCCAGTATCGACAATGACCCTGACCATCACCCCTTGAATAAGCGCCATCACGTCCGACGAGCCCAGCGCGGCACCCAAAACGCGATGTACCAATGCGCCCCACACAACCTGGCTGTGCGAAGCGTACGAATGAGCGGTTACAATGTGAGGTGGTGCGGATGGGTGATGTGGGGAAAGCGGCCGTGTATAGAATGCATCGCGACTTGCCTGTGAACCTCGGAGCGGGGGAAAATCCTTGGTTGTAGTCGGTCGGCGCCCTTGGAAAAGCGCCCCTGCGCCGCCAGCAGTCGCGGGCGAGGTGTCCTCGCTGTCCGCACTCGTGGCACGCCCGCTGTGCGCCACCTCCGTACATCGCGGGGCGACGTGGCGTGCCCGCAGGCGGCAATCCGGCTGCCGCTGCAGCCGGCGGTGGCTCCTCCAGCTCCACCGCGCACCCGGACACGTTGGCGCTCACCATCAGAGGCTGTGCCTCCGCCACCGTTGGTTCGTCGCGGAGGTCCAGGTTGACTTGAAAGGATTACGCGTAGCTCCTTCGCCAACAGCAATAGCTTCTCCTGGGCCAGAGAGTCTAGGGCCGCCTGGTCCATCGCCGGGTAGGCTGCTTGCGCGAAGGCCAACAGCTCGCTGCGGAATGCAAGGGGAGATTCTGTGCCCTCCCGCTTCCTTTGCTGAAATTTACATTTGGCGACCGAACGCGGCTCGTACACGACCTGCATAGCTGCGAACGCCCCCGCCAGCGACGCCCAATTGTCGGCCGGAATCCCGTTGAATGTCGCCAGCGAGTCGTCATCGAGGGCAGTCGGCAGGGTCCGCAGCGCATCACTCTCCATCCATTCGAGTGATTGATACGCCACTCGGATCCGTCGCATAAACGCCGTCCAATCGCCAACCTTGGCCTCGAAGCGTTGGACATGAAGCTGCCATCTCGAACCCGGGGGTGGTGACCCTAGCACCCCATCGGCGCCCGATTCCGCTGGCAGCGCCGCGGGGGGTGCGGCGCGGGAACGGCCGCGGGCCGGCGTGGCACCGTCGGCAACACCCGTTCCGTTGTCATAAAGCGGTCGAACGCCTCCGTCAGCGTCGCCAGCCTGGTCTCCCACTGGGTCATGAGGGCCCTCCATTCTTGAGTTGGCCCCGGGGTCTCGGCCCCGCTCGGTCCGTCCTCCCGCCCCGCAGACACCTGGTCGCCCAGGTCCGCCGGGGGAGCAGGACCTTCTTGCCCGGACGCGGGAATCACGTCCATGTCGTTGCTGTCGTCGGACGAGTCCGTCGGCACGTTCTTTCGATTAGCCGATTTCTTTGACATGTCAGCATTGTTCCGTAGTCACTTCTGACACCAAATGTAGTGGTCGACTTGACGTGGACAACTTTATTGTTTTCTCCGACACCACTTTTATTACAACTCTTCACATTATGTCTGTGACTTCGTCATTCCGCTTAGCCGCAGCTCGCTTGCCGTGCTCCGCCCATCTCGCTCACTCCGCTTCCTCCCCTATCCATCACTGTCCCTCTGCGTCGTCCCTCTGCGTCGTCCCTGTCTCTCTTCGTCACTCGCTGTCTCTGTCTCCCTACGTCGTTCGCTGTCTCTGTCTCTCTCCGTCACTCGATGTCTCTGTCTCTCCGTCGTTCGCTGTCTCTGTCCGTCGCTCGATGTCTCCTCTCCCGCTGTCTCTGTATCTCTCTGCCTGTCTCTGCTTGTCTCTGCCTGTCTCTGCCTGTCTCTGCTTGTCTCTGCTTGTCTCTGCTTCTCCCTATTCCACTGCTAGCCAGTTCTGTCTTTGTTCCAGTCCCAGCGACAGCTCCCCTCGTTCTTCCCGTCTCCAGAATATATCCCCGTTCTCATTACCAACCAATTAATTAGGCCGCGTGCCACCGACGCCCCGCGTCCCCCCGCACCCCCCCGCAGCTGTTACTTGCCCCCTCTATTACCAGACATTCCGGCGCCACTCCGCCCTTGACAACAACCCCAGCCAATCACCGCCATACATCGCTTACCAACTTAATTGGCCCGTTATTACTTCACAATTCCCCACCGCCGCACCTGGCCGGCCCGACGTAACCCCACTGTCCATAACTCGCGCGTCTTTACCATCCACCCTGTATGCGCGTTTTAATCCACGACACAGGTAATGAGCTGAGATTAGGAGCACACTCTTAAAGGGAGTGCTCCTAATCTCAGCTTGTTACCTGTCCACAGAAGCAATCAAACAATCAGATTCCAAACTCTCCACCATGGCCAAGACCAAAGAGCTCTCCAAGGATGTCAGGGACAAGATTGTAGACCTACACAAGGCTGGAATGGGCTACAAGACCATTGCCAAGCAGCTTGGTGAGAAGGTGACAACAGTTGGTGCGATTATTCGCAAATGGAAGAAACACAAAATAACTCTCAATCTCCCTCGGCCTGGGGCTCCATGCAAGATCTCACCTCGTGGAGTTGCAATGATCATGAGAACGGTGAGGAATCAGCCCAGAACTACACGGGAGGATCTTGTCAATGATCTCAAGGCAGCTGGGACCATAGTCACCAAGAAAACAATTGGTAACACACTACGCCGTGAAGGACTGATATCCTGCAAGGCCCGCAAGGTCCCCCTGCTCAAGAAAGCACATATACATGCCCGTCTGAAGTTTGCCAATGAACATTCGGAATGATTCAGAGGACAACTGGGTGAAAGTGTTGTGGTCAGATGAGGCCAAAATGGAGTTCTTTGGCATCAACTCAACTCGCCGTGTTTGGAAGAGGAATGCTGCCTATGACCCCAAGAACACCATCCCCACCGTCAAACATGGAGGTGGAAACATTATGCTTTCGGGGTGTTTTTCTGCTAAGGGGACAGGACAACTTCACCGCATCAAAGGGACGATGGACGGGGCCATGTACCGTCAAATCTTGGGTGAGAACCTCCTTCCCTCAGCCAGGGCATTGAAAATGGGTCGTGGATGGGTATTCCAGCATGACAATGACCAAATACACACGGCCAAGGCAATAAAGGAGTGGCTCAAGAAGAAGCACATTAAGGTCCTGGAGTGACCTAGCCAGTCTCCAGACCTTAATCCCATATAAAATCTGTGGAAGGAGCTGAAGGTTCGAGTTGCCAAACGTCAGCCTCAAAACCTTAATGACTTGGAGAAGATCTGCAAAGAGGAGTGGGACAAAATCTCTCCTGAGATGTGTGCAAACCTGGTGGCCAACTACAAGAAACGTCTGACGTCTGTGATTGCCAACAAGGGTTTTGCCACCAAGTACTAAGTCATGTTTTGCAGAGGGGTCAAATACTTATTTCCCTCATTAAAATGCAAAACAATTTATAACATTTTTGACATGCGTTTTTCTGGATTTTGTTGTTATTCTGTCTCTCATTGTTCAAATAAACCTACCATTAAAATTATAGACTGATCATTTCTTTGTCAGTGGGCAAACGTACAAAATCAGCAGGGGACCAAATACTTTTTTCCCTCACTGTATATAGCTCAGTGGGCCTTACCTGGTAACATATAAATGGTAAAAAAAGAAATAGTTTAGTTGTGTTGCTGTTGGAGTCATGACATGAGGTGAACAAATGTCCTGTTGCAACTCATCTATCGAGTCAAGTACGATCCCGCATTACATCAGAGGAGGGCTGTGGGCAATCGTAGCACGTTGGAGGAGTTTGCGAATGGTGTGCGAATACCATAAATGGTCTACGAACACCACGAATGTAGTTAGCACAGGAATAAAGCCGGGAGTAAATTACAGGTATGGTGAATGTGTGGGATTTGGAGCATGAAAATTATGCAGGTTTGTCGGCTCGGACTGTGGTAGCCGTTGGTAGTCTTAGCCACTGAGACTGGACACTGGGTTCTTAAGATAAGTGTTTCTAAGACAGAGTTGATAGCGGTAGGTAGAAACGAGGCTACTGCAGGAGGATCACCTAAAATGTTACTGGTGCTGTTTCTGGCACGCATCTTTTAGCGTTCTTGCATCAGTTGATTGAAATGTGCTTTTGCATTTTCAAAAGGTGCAGCAGATGAAGAAAAAGAAACAGAACTTCTGTGCGAGGACTGCGGGAAGGGCAGTTGCTTGGAAATAAAGACAGACAAAGCGGAATGTACAAGCAACAAGACCCCGCAAGCCTGCAAGCAGTGTGGGAAGGTACTTGAAGGCTTCGCGTTGTGCACGGCAGTGGCTACCGATGGGAGGAAGCACGTGTGCAAGGAGTGTGCCAAGGGGTTTACATCGCGTTTTGGTTTAGAGACGCACATGAGAACACACACGGGCGAGAAGCGGCACGTGTGCAACGAGTGTGGGAAGGGGTTTACAAAGCGTTCCACCTTAACCACGCACGCCATATCACACACGGGCGAGTGGCCGCACGTGTGCAAGGAGTGCGGAAAGGGCTTTGCACAACGTTCTGATTCAGAGAAACACGCAAGAACACACACCGGCGAGAAGCCGCACGTGTGCCACGAGTGTGGGAAGGGGTTTGCAACGTGTTATTCTTTAACCACGCACGCTATCTCACACACGGGCGAGTGGCCACACGTGTGCACTGAGTGTGGAAAGGGATTCGTACAGTGTTCCGATTTAGAGGAGCACACCAAAACGCACACGGGCGAGAAGCCGCACGCGTGCAACGAGTGTGGGAAGGGATTTTCACGGCGTTCTACGTTAAAGGCACACACTAGAACACACACCGGTGAAAAGCTGCACGTGTGCCACGAGTGTGGAAAGGGGTTTTCAAAGCGCTCTACCTTAACGACACACTCTATCTCGCACACGGGCGAGTGGCCGCACGTGTGCACGGAGTGTGGAAAGGGATTCGTACAGTGTTCCGATTTAGAGAAGCACTCAAGAACGCACACGGGCGAGAAGCCGCACGCGTGCAAGGAGTGCGGGAAGGGGTTTGCACGAAGTTCCACGTTAAAGGAGCACATTAGAACACACACGGGGGAGAAGCTGCACGTGTGCAAGGAGTGTGGGAAGGGGTTTTCAAAGCGCTGCACCTTAACGACGCACGCTATATCTCACACGGGCAAGTGGCCGCACGCGTGCAAGGAGTGTAAAAAGGGCTTTGCACAACTCTCCGATTTAGAGAAACACGCAAGAACACACACCGGCGAGAAGCCGCACGTGTGCAACGAGTGCGGGAAGGGGTTTGCAACGTATTATACGTTAAACACGCACGCTATATCACACACGGGCGAGTGGCCGCACGTGTGCGTGGAGTGTGGAAAGGGATTTGTACAGCGTTCCGATTTAGAGAAACACACAAGAACGCACACCGGCGAGAAGCCGCACGTATGCAACGAGTGCGGGAAGGGCTTTTCACAACGTTCCGATTTAGAGAACCATACAAGGACACACACCGATGAGAAGCCATATGTGTGCAACGAGTGCGGAAAGGGGTTTGCAAAGTTGTATACGTTAAACACGCACGCTATATCACACACTGGCGAGTGGCCGCACAAGTGCACGGAGTGCGGAAAGGGATTTACGCAGCGTTCCGATTTGGAGAAGCACACAAGAACGCACACCGGCGAGAAGCCGCACTCGTGCCAGCAATGTGGGAAGAGCTTCGCGCAGCGTTCAAATTTGGAGGCACACGCGAGAACGCACACCGGTGAGAAGCCCCATGTGTGCAAGGAGTGCGGGAAGGGCTTTTCCCATCGTTACAATTTAGAGAAACACACTAGAACACACGATGTGGAGTGAAAACTCAAATCGGAGTATTGTCCCTTTTGAAAGCAACGGTGAGTAATATTGTTTATGCAATGCTATTGTCCTACCATGTGCGTGGGTAATGTAAATGAAATTTTTTAGACAAGCCACCGTGTAATTGTGACCAACCCAAACTATGGACCGTATAGTAAACCACTGTTGTCTGGCCTTCTTCAATAGAGAAACAGCAAAACTACGCAAACTCTCTGCTGAAGCCCTCACGTGGCTAGCAGAACCTTAACATTTGTCATTCGGCTTCTGAATATACTACTATAAGCAAGAAGAGAATTGGTACATAGATGCAGAGACATTTACTGGTCCGCTCATTTACCGGTCCACACTATAGTGTTTTGATATACAGAACCATTCTGCGTTTGGCTAGATCAGCCTACTATTCAAATTGTGTAAATGACTGAATAAGCCTCAATTTTATTGAATTATATCGCTATTTCAACTTTAACTATCTTCAACTCCCCTGTTGAATGTTTTTTTTTTTAGCTGTGATAATTTCATGAATCATTTTAATAAAAAAAAGATCATACTGATCTGAGAGCACAAAAAGCCATTGTTCGTCGTGCTGAACGTACATGGAGGAAGTCTGGTCTCACCATACATCGCCAGATTTTTTAAAGAACAGCTACACGCCTATTTCGTCAACATTTCAACATCCCTATATTGCTAGTCGCATTCCAGTAAGTAAGGCTAATGCACGAACCTTATTCTCTACCATCAATCATCTTCTGCATAAGGTACAACAATTGTAATTCTCCTTCCACAGGCCGCTGTACTTCTATTCAGCAGTCGCTTGGGGTTAAAATTTCCACTATCTGTTCCCAATTAATATATTCCCCCTCATTGCCCTTCCATTAGACTGACCCCCATTCTGGTTTAATGGCACTCTCTCGACGAAGTTCCCCACTATTACGACCGCCGAACTCGCCTCCGATTGTTGGTTCTCGACCAACCTATTGTCCACTGGATCCATTCCCTTCCAGACCGCTTTGGGGGATAGCTTTTTCACATTGGTGCACCCTTTGTTCTTAGCATTTTCAGCATGTTCTTTGAGACTGGTGTAGTTCCTGGCACTTTTACAATGGCGGCAGTCATCCCACTTTTGAAAAAGCCACGTCTTGAACCCAAGATTACAAAAAGATATATATGTCCAATCTCCCAACTTCTTTGTCTAAGATTCTGGAATGTGCTCTGGCTTCTCGATTCCGTCAGCATCTAGCTACGTGCAACTTATCCGACCCCTTTCAGTGCTGCGCACAGCATTTAAGACGGCTCTCGTGAGGGTGACCAACGATTTATTGCTGCAAGCGGACAGGGGGCAAGCAAGTGTTCTTGTCCTGATAGACTTCAGTGCTGCGTTTGACATCATTGACCATTGGGTCCTTCTTGAACGACTCCAACACTCAGTGGGGATTTCTGGTCGTGCATTACAATGGTTTCGCTATATGCAGGATCGCGTGCATTATGCTACAATCGATGGTTACAAATCTCCAATTAGACCGGATCAATGCAGTGTTCCACAAGAATCAGTACTTGGCAGCCCTCTATTCATTACCTATATGGCACCTATGGACACGCTGCTATGACATCTGGCCTTGTCATATCACTGCTATGCTGATACCTAAAATTCATGTCCGCATAGGTTCCGATTGTGCGAGGACAGTCTATTCATCCAACCTTCCCCTATAATTCCCATACCTCGACCCTCCTCACGCAACTGCACTGGCTTCATGTGTACTATGTTCAAATTCCCCACGCTGGTCTACAGATCCCTTCATGTCCTTGCCCCACCATATCTTGCCACGCTCGTAGCTCGCTACGTGCCTTCTTGCCCTCTACGTTCTCAATCATTGCTCTGTTCCTCCTCCTTGTGCTGAATCACGCTTTCCCTCTTTTTCTCTTCTTGCCCCCCTTCACTCAAACTTCCCCTCCACATTAAACAGTCACGTTCACTCGCTAGGTTCCGCTCTGCACTCAAAACTCACTTATTTTCCCCTAGCTCACCCCACGACCCCTTAATCTCTCCCCCCACTGTTACTTTTCCGACTTCATATTCTCATATGGCTTTCACCCATTCAATCCATTCATCATCATTGACTGTCATCATTTTCCTTTCACCGAATTCACGCATCACAGATTTTCCCATTGCTTCCTCTCATCTATTTAATCTACTTAATCTCCACCATTACATTCATATGTACCATTGTTAATTCTTTGTAAGGCGTCTTGGTTAAGGCGCTATACAACTTCCTTTAAGATAAGATTGTCTGCATCATTATCTCTAGTAAGATCTTGGCTTCACAATAATTTTCTCTTATGGAATGCCAACAAAACTGAGTTCATAGCCATTGGTTCCCCCTTACAGTTATCTAAAATTAGATCACTATGTTTGTCTACAGATGGTCATGATGTCTGTCCATCACAGGAGATCAGAAATGTTGGTGTCCAATTTAATCAGTATTTATCCTTTGAGGCACATGTAACTAGAGTGGTCAGAACATACTTATTCCACCTAAGAAATGTCCGGCTGCGTCGATTCCTGTCGCCCGATGATTACAGAGACTGGTCCACGCGTCTGTGTTCTCCCAACTTGACAATTGTAACACATTACTGATTGGGATTCAGATTAAGGTGCTTGGTAGACTTTAGCTTGTTCAACATGCTGCTGCTAGAATGCTTACGCAAACACCATTTTGAGAGCACATCACACCCGTTCTCTTGTCCTTGCATCGGCTACCAATCAAATATGACATTGATTATAAGGTCCTGCTATTGACGTACAAGGCTGTCAATGGTTTTGCTCCACGATACTTACAAAAACTGATCCACTTATATACATCAATGAGGTCCTTGAGATCTTCTGACTTCCTCCTTAATATTCCGAGGTCAAGGCTCCGTTCCTGGGGTGATGGGGCTTTTGCCAGTGCAGCTCCAAGACTATGAAACGAGTTGCCTCTGATAATAAGACAATCAGAATCTTTAGAGAAAATTTAATCTCCCCTGCAAACTCCCCTCTTTGAAATGGCCTGTTGCCCATATTTTTGGTCATTTATGCTGGCTCCGTCTTATTTCCTGATTTCCATAGGAGGCAAATTTGGATCATTGGATGAAATGCGCTATTACAAATCCAAATGATTATTTTTATTATATCCATAATCAAATATTTAATATCACCCTTACAACAGGATGTGTCTCCCCTAGCAGTCCTGTACCTCACATCCTGGGTGCTCCTCAATCAAAACCAAGCCTTTGACTCCCAAAAAAGTCACTCCGCCACCTACTGACCCTTTCATGCCAAACAACGACTCCGCCGTGGTCTCGCGTGTTTCCCCACACAAACGCGTCGCTTCAAACGGCACTCCACAATGGCATAATGTGCCTCCCTGCCTCATTCTACTTTACTGTCAGGCCACGCTCAAAGCACAGTGAAGACGCCACACTCCCATTACTTTTGTGTGAAACACAAAGTAGCGATGCTTCATAGTCTCGAGCGAGGTTCGGTCAGCCAATATGCTTCGGTAAATCGGCCAATTCCATACTCATGCCACACAAGCCTCAAACGTGTCTCGTGGACGGGTACGGGCAGGTGATGAACAGCACACCAAAGGGTTCTCCACCTAGTCTTTGAGAACTTCTTTCGCACCGTACGAAGCCAACCGTGCTAATCGGAGGTGCGTCTGCCCAAAAAATGGCGAGCACCCAATTTATTTTTGAGAGGGAGTCCAAGCTTGGGATTGTGGGAGCTGATGTCTCATACCTTGATCATTAACTCAGTGATGAAGGGGATTAAGCGAAAACCTGGTCTCTGTTGGGGAATGATATGGAGTGGAATCTTTTTGTTCTACCGAGGCTGAAAAATGTATATATTCTATTTTTAATGATGACATTGTTGCCATTGTCAATGTTCGGTCGCCGGATTGATGACATTTGTTGCGTTTTACCACGTAACAGGGAAGACCACGTGAAGGTATTCATCGTCCCCATTTTGATAATAACGGACACACGAGGAACTTGGAGATGAACCTTGCGTCAGCTTCATCATTCATTCAGTACAAGTCCCCCACTGGCGTTTCTGCCACCCCAGCTCACGTGTTCTTCCCACACCCTGGAAACCTCGACACGGTAATGCGCTGGGCCACCTGCGTTTAAAAGCCAGGAGAGGGGGCTCAGGGTGGATGCCAATCAATTACAGGCAGACCTCGCATAGCGCGACCCTGTAAAACACCAAATCATAAGTCCCGGATAAAATATTCACGAAAAAATGAATAAACTCAAATACTGTAATCTAAAAAGTACTTATGAGAACACGCAGCAGCGATGGCCGAGGAAACGTACCCTGCCCATTAATTCGCTCAGCCAATGAAATCGACGCACGCTCTGAGCCAATGACCACCACCCCGCGATTCGATTGTCACGATTCACAGTCACGATTATATAAATACGTGTAAAAAAAAATCCAATGTTAGTACGGTACATTTAGCCAAGTGAGAACTCACGAGACTATGATGGAGTCTCAGGCTCCACCTAAAAGGAACCTGACAGAAATATAGACTCATGGCATCACTAAGGTCACAGAGGTCCTGGAGCTCTCTGAGAATCACCCGGATTGGGAGCACAGACAGTTCTCACAACCTCCCACCACTGCATTGTAGGAGTAAAGTAGAATGCACTCATGAGTACACTCTATAATACTCCCTGATGTTATAATAAAATATATATTTCTTATGAAACGTTTACCATCTCTATTATTCTTTGCGCTATTACCAAAACCCCGATGAAGCCCTCATATATTGCTCATGAAAGAAACACAACACTGTCGGGAACGCATCCCCATATATACAATGGGGAATAATGGATCCTTTTAACTGTGATTCGAATAGCGATGCTCTCACATACTCTAGGAACAACAACGGCACATTCTTCTTGAGCGCTCAGCGAGGCCCGCCTGTATTTGAGCCAATCCCGGTTGCGTCCGCTGCTGCACGTTGTTCGATGGAGTTGGGGAATGCTTTGGTGGCCTTGAGGGTGGGCCTGCTCACCCGCCCAGTTTACGCTGCGGGCACTTAGAAAATGCCCCTTCCGTGCGACGGCCCCAGCCTCACTGCGCCAGTGTGGGGTAGTCAGGCTGGGGCTATGGCTCGGTGAGTGATGCCTTGGGAGGCTCGGTTATAACCCCCCACCACTAGCCGCCTTCTTCGTGGTCGATGGTAAGGATCGCCCCCCCTTCCCCCGCACTTTTATGCAGCTGTGTAAGAGGCACCTGCCTCACTGGTAAGTATTTTAACTTTAAACACTTTTTTCTAAGGTTCTTAAAGTCCATTCACGTAGCATGCGATCCCCCCCACCCCACCCCCCACCCCCGGGTGGATTGCTGCCGCTAAACCCAAAACACCGCCCCGATTCTCGACCATTCTCGCTTCACTCCTTCCCACTCCCTGCCTTAAACTAAAAGTTTTGTATTTTACCAGGTAAGGCTCCACTGAGCTATATAGCGCTGTTTCAGAAGCAACCTGACCACAAATGATCGCCCAACGAGAAGTGGCTTGCCATGTGGAAATTTCTAGCAGTCAAATTCTCGAAACGCACGTTGAATTCTAAATGTGGAGGGGAAAACCTGTAAGACCCAGAGAAATAGTCCACGCGACCACCACGGGGAGAACACGCAAACTCTAAATATGAAGCAGGCGTCGAAACCCGTGACATGTATACCAGACCAGGTCGTTAACATCTCGGGTGGAGTGTGAGGCCTTGCCCCTTTTTTTCGGCTCTTTTCTTTGCCCTTCCCTAGAATTTGGGCACTGCAGGAGTGGGGGAGGAGAGGGGGGGGGACTGAGCAGCCACCCAGCACGACCACTGACCACCACGCTCTGCTACTTTACTCATCTCGACTCCTCTACTTTATAGTTGGCAGGCAACCCTTTATGCTGGGCGACTGAGGGCTAACATCTTTCTGGCCGACTTCAACACTGAATCAGAGGAGAGCCAGCCATAGCTGGGTCTCCTGTCATTTGTATACCTATCTCCTCACCCTGCCTTCCAGAAACTTCATTGAACTCCCCCTTCTTTTGCCCAAGAGTCCGTGAAAAGCAGCATTATCATTGCAACATTTCAATTCTCAATCTGCTAGATTTGTAAGTGAATCTGACTCACCCCTTCAAGTGTCTAAGGCTGGCCGACAGGAGGTCATGGGATATACCTAGATGTTTTTGGTTGTCTGGGTTTACTTGTATACACGGGTCGTCACGTCCTGAATGTGGGAAAATGGCTTTAAAAAACTGCACCGTTTTGTAAAGGTCAACATACACATGGAGACACTGGGCTGTTGTGGCGCTGTAACAGGACCAATTGAATCGGCAACAGAATGATAAATTATGTCAATGTACAGGGTAGCCAATGGTTATCAATGGGTGGGCTATCAGCCAAAAATGCCAACAATCGTGTTACAGTAATCGCCGTACTGTTCGATTAAAGCTTAAGCAAGCCCCAATCACTGCTCGATCATATAGACACATATTGAAAATGTATTAACTCGATCACCGCTCGATCACCACTCGATCACACACTCAAAATGTTATAGCTCAATCGGTCCTCAATCACTGCTCGAATGATGCTCAATTGGTGCTCAATTGGTGCTCGATCGGTGCTCAATCACTGCTTGATCAGTGCTCAATCAAAACTAGATCGGTGTTCAAAGCTCGATCGATGATCGATGCTTGATCACAGACACATTCAAATGTCATAGCTTGACTGGTACTCAATCGATGGTGGATCGTCGCTCGATTAGTGCCCGATCAAAGCTTGATCGATGCCTGATCAATGCTTGATCACATAGACACACATTCAAAATGTAAATAGTCGACCGGAACCCCAGATAACTGGAGTTATTTGACAAGCACATCCAGTTTTCTGGGGGTTTTACCCGTAAAAACCCGAGTTCTCCTGTTGTTGGTCAGTAGTGTTGTCAGTAAGTGGTATGGCTATGCATTGGTGTTTGTGATCAATGCAGTGTTGTTGCTCCGGAGAACAGGGGACCAATAACTGATGTCGAGTCACCTCGATTATGCAGTTGTTTCTTATAGCTGACAAAGAGCAACAAGTCCGGTGCCGAGATTGCCGTAACGGTGCGTTGCCACGTTCACCCCTTGGCCCCAGCTAGATTTGTTTTTCTTTTGGCACAACCAGTGACCTGTCGTGTGGCGCTCCAGGAGTTTTGTTTACAATATAATTACGTCGATTGAAAAGGAGCTAAGGTTTAGACCCTTGAATATTTCACAGTTGTGAAACCAAAAGGTTATTTGTAACAAAGGGAGTAAACATTACACAGTGTTCTGCCGTTTAATGTTTCATGATAAAGTTACCCTGGTGCGGTAGCTAAAATTTCATCATCAAAAATAACGTTCACTTCTATACATACATCACACATCAAGCAGCATTTTACAAAAATGTGCATTATATGTTGTATAACGTCGAGAGAGCAAGGCGAATTGAGCTTTTATATTTTTGTACAAGTTCATCATATTTATAGCAATATATTTAACGATGCTTTTTGTGATGAAACATTCTGCTTGTCGTGGCATTAAATCCATTACGTTTATTATTTTTGTGGTTGACCCAGGCATCTTCAGCTGCACACGGTTCCCCGTGGACGGACTTGGAAACATTTGCGATGTTAAAGATTATAGAAGACAATCCTGACATTTCAAGTAAAATAAACAGCCCGCCGGGTTTACATAAAGGCGGGTTGTTCGTTAAAATTCAAAGAGAATTGTTGAAGAAAGGAATCTGCAGGTACCCTAGGCAAATTCAGCTTCGATGGCGACGCATGATGATTGATTATGCATTCTGGAATAAAGAGGAAAACAAGGGCAAAGGACGTAAATTACGCTCCTACATGCAAGTTTTTGTCAAACTTAGGGGTTTGCCGGATTTGGATGAGAATGGTGAGTAATCTTTTGTTTGTTTTGATCTTATAGGGCTTTACATGTGAATATTTACTCATTATTATCGAGATTTATCGTAATGATGCAACCCATTGTTTCTTGATAAGACGTGTACAGTCTTGAAAGCACAACCAAGGACGCACTGGAGATGAGTGTAGGTGAACCACCTGAGGTTGAAGAAAAGAGCAAAACTATTGTGCAAGATAATTTCAATCTGGCGGAAATGGAGGAAAGGATTAAAAGTAAGTATTATTGGAATATTAACAACCACAACTGATTCCAATTTTTTTTTTTATTTTCTTCAAAATCTGTAAACGTTTGTGATATTTTGCAGGTGAAATGAATAAGAAAATAGAAGAAAAATTTGCGGAAACCTTTAAACATGTGAATTCTTGCTTGACAATTATTGTGGAAAGACAAAATTCTATGAATAGTCGCCTTGAGAAAATTGAGTTTTCCCTGGCCAATCTATCAGGAGGGGATGTGGAACGTGTGGACAATCAGCGGGACCTGGGAAGGGGAATAATTCCCAGTGCCGCGATGTCTGTGCCAGAGATTGATTTGGCAAAACGAATTACAAGGCAATCGGCGGACAAGCACAAAGGAGGTGCTCACAAGAAATGCGTCGCTCGTGATCACCCCAAAAAGCGAGCAGAGAAACAGGCGGCCACAAAACAGATATCTAAAAAGAGGAAATTACATGAGTTTGAGCAACCACTGCAGGAAACAAAATCTGTTGACACGTGCCTCGCTAACCAAACGAGCAATAATACTAGGGGCAAAACAAGGGCACAGACCAAAACATCTGCACAATTGCAGTGAAAGCAGTATCTGCACTGAAACCGGCTTTTTAAAAACTTTCACATATTTAAGTAGTAAGCTTCAGAAATTAATGATTTTTTTTACGAGCCATTGTACACTAAAAGGTTGATTACAGGAGAAAGGCGCATTAATCTTGGCTTTTTTGCACTGCTACAGATAAAATCTTTCTAGTCTTTATATTAC